CTGGGATGTCTTGCTCTCCTTGTCACCTCCATGGTATCTTGGTATCTCTATGGTACACGGCCCTATGAACCCCAACCAGGTATCTATACTTTCTCTCTGCAGCTCACGTGGTCCGTGTGCATCATCACCGACATCATGCTGACCCCGACCTTGTCTCACCAGTCCACCAGGAAACTCCCAACAACGACCACGACATCGTGACATCCCAACTGGCCCAACTTACCAGTACTTACAGCAATGCGACAAATGACATTGGCTTGGTATTGGCTGCGACCGTGAAAGAGGACCTCACCTGGCTCCTCAACTACTGCAAAGACCAGTACGATCCTACCTAGCCACCAGGCGATCATATACTGATATACCTTGTCCAGCGGCTCAATTCCCTTCATCTACACGACCGACCAACCCCCTGCTCCCTACCTCCTTGTTCCGCGTACTATTCGTGGCCGCGAAGCCGCCGCCTACCTTTCCTTCGTCGTCGACTTCTATCACCAACTCCCGAAGTATACCATCTTCATCCACTCGAACCTCGACCAATGGCACAATGACCTCTTCGGTCCCCACACCAGCCCCGCGCTGAAGAACCTCCGACTTGAGGCCGTCGACGCGCAGGGTTACGTGAACCTTCGGTGCGAGCACGACCCGGGATGTCCCACGAGCGTGCACCCTTGGAGCCCGACACAAATCGATATTGAGAAGGACGACATCCGCGCGTTTTTCCCAGAAGTGTATGAGACGATCCTGGGCGTACCGGCTGAGAAGGTGCCCGAACACATCGGAAATGTGTGCTGCGGACAGTTCGCCGTCAGCCGAGAACGGATCCTGGAACGGCCACGCGAAGACTACGAGCGCATGCTGAAATGGGCAGAGGAGACGGAGCTGACGGATAGCTTTGGCGTGGGATGGGTGTATGAGAAGATCTGGCATATCATTTTCGGAATGGATGTGATATAGTAAGTTGGCCTACAACTCGACGGGTATAAATGCGGAGAAATGCTAACAGGTATAGTTGCCCCCGGTACGAGCAATGCCGGTGCGATACGTACGGATGGTGTGGACCGTTGGCGTCTGGTGAGACACTGCAGGCAGTGCGAGCGAAGAAGTCATAATCTAATGGATGATTGTTAATGCATGATGTATACTATCATGATTGGGGATATCGGTTGCATTTGGTTTGGTTTTCTTTGTTATGATTCGTGATCTAATGTACAGTTAGATATTCTTATCTTCGTGAATCTTTTTGGACTATTGACCGCTCAGGTATATACATTGGATATGCAAATCATAAACTGCAGCGCATGCTACTCATGGTTAATAGGTTGCTGATGCGTTCCTCGCACGGGCCCTGCATCTAGCTCAAACATTGGCCGATGTACTGGACTTCCGGGCGCCTCATGCACGTCACCACTATCCAGCAACGGCACGTCCGTCTCCGACGGTCGCCTCCGGGGGATCGGATGCAGGAACAGTGATCGTCCATCCGCATCATTCGGCGGCGACGCCGACGAGCGATCTCCTGGGACCAATGCAGCAGGGAGGGGCGGAGACGTCGACATGGACACTATAGATTCCCTGTTCATCTCGTTCGATGGCGGTGGCGGCGATATCGGTTTCCGGGGAATGGCACTCGCTGCAATAACAGGGTCGCTATTCTGCCTGAGTACGGCGGGATTCGGGACTCCGGTAACAGGCTTCTCATCACCAGCTGCCGACTCCTCGTCTCGATTACTACTACCACCGCCGCCCCGAAGGCCGACCCCGACAGGCGTATACATCATTTGGCTCTGATCATCATTCCGTCTTCTGCGCCGCTTCCGCTGCTTCCGATACATCATCCACAAACCAACAAGGATGAGAAGGACCAGTACAATCACGGCAATGGCGATACCGGCTTTGGCGCCCGCACTGAGTCCGCTGCTGGAACCGTCGGTGCAGGTGTAAGATCCTTGAAAGGCGCCGTTGTTGTTGTTGTCGCGGCGACGGCGGGTATTGCTATCGTCGTCATCGTCATCATCACGAAGAGAATTGAGACTCGAGCATCGAAACGACCCGCCATGGGAATGAATCACCGTTTGTCCTTTGACCTTATCGAGATCGCCGAATTTGATCCTGTCCATCGTCAAAAAAGAATATCCCTCATAAAGAAAAGGAAACGGAGGACCCACTCGTTGAAAGTCCCCTCTAGAATCAAACTCCCATCGACGTTCTTCAAATCTTGGAATACAATGTCCCTCAACTCCTTGTTCCCCTCGATATCAATCTCCCCGGGGACCTTTTCCAAATCCGGAAACGACAAATTCGTCAAGTCATCATTCCCCGATATATAGATCTTCCCATTCACTTTCTGTAGATCCGACGCCGAGAACGACGTCAACCCGGATACATCCTGGATGGTGATGCCGCCATTGATCGTCTCGACATTGGAGAGGGAGATACTGCCCGTCGCAGAGGAGGAGATAGTCAGGGTACCGGAGAGGGTATCGCACGAGGAGAGCGAGTCCGCATCAGATTGTGAGGATATCGTTGAAGTAGAGGAGCCTATCACACCACATCACCCACTGATTAGTTGCCTGGGGCTTCCCTCGAAGAAAATTAAGGGCAGTACAACTCACAATTAGAGTTATCATCCCCCGCAACCAGCGGTACATGTACCTGCAATAGTAATCCCAGAACAAGGAGTAAGTAGCGTGTGCGTGATTGGAAGGAGGAGGAATTGAGGTGGCTGTGTAGTAAGGGTATCATATCATCGGAACGCAGCACCACCAAATCGTCAAGAGAAAATAAAGTAATTGAAAACCAGGGTATATCCTCGTAACTCGGAAACTTTAACTAGCAACCATAAACTCGTAAAGTGGATATGTAGTATGTTGGAATAGTTAGGGTATCAATACATCATTCGACATGGACTGGACGCATAAACACGAAAAAGTAGTAGGCAAGTAGGCAGTAGGCAGTAACCCGAGGGTGTAAGTTGTGAGTTGGTATGGGTGGGGGTTGGTGTTGGTGTTGAAGAAAAAGAAAGTAAGTAAGTAGTAAAACTAGGCTACTACCGAAAAAGACGGGGATAAGTGCGGAATAAGTACAGCAGAAGAACAGTAGGTAGTAGTAATTAGTGTTAAGTGGTTTAGTTAGTGTGTAGCATGCATGCAGAGACACCATCATGCAGATTGGAACGGACGGCACACACACACACAGCGCACGGGTCGGCACTATTCGAGACAGTAGACAGTAGAACTAGTTGTGGGGATGGGTAGTAGCTAACTGACTAGTTAGATGGGGGTTGATGTTTGGTTCTTACTTAATAGTGTGTTTGTGATATTATTAGTTTAGTCTCCGACTAGAATTAGGATAAGTGGTGGTTGGAGGTGAGGGTGAGGGTGAGAGGGTGTAGGCAGATAGATATCTAACTACTTACTAGTCTAGTGTTGTAATTATGTAGTGGTAGTGGTAGTGGTATCTCCGATGCAAGTAGTAGCAGCTCGGATGATCAGTTAACTAGCTAGCTAGTTAGCTAATTAGCTAGAAAGGATACTGTGTAAATAGGTGGTTGTTTCAGCTGTTGTGTACGGAGTATGTACCAACTGCATCCATTCCATTCCATTCCTCAGGATGATGGATAAGTTACACAATAAGGCAATGGGGATTATTCCATGTTATCAAGGCAGTAAAAAAAGCAATTCTACGATACCAGCCAACCCTCCCAAAGGGAAAAAGCAAGCAAGGAAGGAAGGGAAAAAATCAAGAAACCCCCGATACTACTCCAACTCTCAACACCGCCCCATTCATTAATCTTAATGACCCACTAACGACACCAAGAAAAAAAAAATCAAGCACAAGCACAGAACGGAGTAAGTAGAGTGGACTGACCGATCACCACGATATCATCTCATCTCATATCATATCATATCCTCCCCTACTCATCATACCGTTAGCTCAGGTAAATCATTGGTATCCTGCATAAGTGTACACCGCAACCATAAGACGACACGACTTCACAGAACTCTCAACTACATCCATCCTGATTGATCGATACTTAATCCAATCAATAACCGTCACATTGAACCCTGATTTACTTACCACTTTACTACGTACTTACTTTTATCTATCGATGATCTAAAAATAGTCCACCCATCACATCACAACAACTTAATTCATTTCATTTTCATTCAGGCACCAGAATTTCCAGCGAAGGAGAAAATCAGAAAATGAAGCAAACCCTAGACAAATAGAAAAAGGGAATGATTGGAAGCGAGGGAAAAAAGCGGATGGCGGGTCGGAAACAACAACAACAACACCCCCGCTTTTTGTTTTGTTTTGTTTGTAATGTTGTGTTGTGTGTTGGAGTGATTCAGGCAGAAGAGATTCGGGATGCCCGATTGGGTAGTGATGTCCGATTATCATCATTATTTTTTTTCTTCTTATTTTATTCCAGTATTGGGTTGAAGGGGGGAGATCGGAGACGAATGTTGAGGGTATGATGTTATCTTATTCTTTTATTAAATATATTCTTTTATTGATGGAATTGGTTATTATTATTATTGTTGTAGGAGCATTGTAGGAAAGATTATGGCTGTCGGACATGGATGGTAGCCAAGACACACACACGGGTCACACCCGCATCTAATAAAGTGCCGAGAAGCTTAGGGATGGTAGTCTCTAGTCATGGCATGAGGGGAAAGGGGATCTGTGGTCCATGTAGGTACCACTCATTCAAAGGTACTATGGAAGACCCTGCAGGCAACTCAATTAAATGACTTGCTGGTTGATCGTCTCTCTCCTCGCGACGACGGATGATTTTCGACCAATTATTTATAGCATGATTTCGGTGGGTAACTGAGACATTGCGGTTGAAATATTGGCTTTTATTTTTATCTACTGTACGGAGTACTTCAGTACGCTATTCAGTTTGGACCCTTAGGCAACCCTGATACTCCATACTCTATGGGAACATGTGGAGTGTGAGACATAACTCCCATCGTTCCATCTCGGCTATTTCTATATCAAGCACAGCTAAAAGACGACGCATCATTCGGATCTCCACCAACATAGGTGAAGATCTTCGGATAAGGACAAAGATACGCCGTGCGAGTTGAGCTGCTGTTCGAGCCAGCCACTGCTACAGCAGTGGCTTCCAAAGTGTCAGGCACTGTTGAGTTCTCAACCCATGCCCGGAGCGTCTCAAACACATAATCATTGGGATCGAATCCGTTACCCCCCTCGCAATGAGCAACTCCAGGTGCCAGGAAAAAGCGGTAATAGTCTGCCACACTGGGATCCAACTCCATCACCCGGCTGTAATAATCCACGGTACCGTTGGTCGGAATCAACTCGTCTTGCATTCCATGCCAAGAAATCATCTTTCCTCCCGCAATCTTGAACCCTGTCAAGTCAAGATTGCACGTTCCAATAACAGAAGCATATTGGTCGACTGATTCGCGGTAGAGATCGTCAAAGTCTTGTCGCGTTAGGCCTTGGACACTAAAGGACGAGTTTCTGGCCAAGAAAATTCGGGCCCAGTCGGCGCTGATACTAAAAGGTGTCACAGTACAGTTATCAACCGATGTGCAGGTCGTAGTAAGGAGGGCTGTTAGATCGGCATCATAAGCCAGTCCGTACCACTCGAATTGATCTTCGAGTGATATGGGTCCATCCCACATGCCTTGGACTAGCTCAGCCATCTTGTCCGTAATTGTAATCTGCCCATCCGGATCACTGCAATTTACTGTCTGGCCAACCATCGACGACGCTTCATAATGGCATTGACCCGGAAGAGAAATGATTCCGTCCTTCACTCCGTCCAGCAGATCACAGGCTTCGATGGCAGCATCCGTAAATGCATCAAGGACACATGCAGGCGGCTGTGTATCTGAGAGATTGATCAGCATGATTTTAATGAACCCAGCAATAGCAACACACCAAGAAGTTGCGCCAGGAAAGCAGGCCAGAACTCGGCCAGTTGGAATTTATCCCAATTGATAGCCGGAGAGCCTCCCACAATACCATCAAAGTAGGTCGGGAATCTCTGGGCCATCATGTGTCCCTGTCGACCGCCAGTGGAACATCCATTCCAGTACGAGTACTTGGGCGGCGAACCAAAGTAGATCTCCGTAGCCAGCTTCCCAAGTACAGCTGCCTCGCCTAGTGCCACACTGGAGAAATCCCACAGTGCCGGCCAGTTGGTATTGCCTTCGCTCACAAAGCCCCAGTCCGCCGTTGAGGCGGTACTATTGTGTCCCCCATCGGTCGAGGCGGATGAGTATCCGGCAGCGACGGGAGCTATAATTTCATCAAGCCCTCCAGCTACCCATCCACCACCCCCATTCATGAGAAAGCGTGAGTTCCAGCTTTTGGCATTAAGAGGCAGTCCGATGTAGGTATTGACAATGTCGTTCTGCCCATGGTGTGTGTACTGCAATGACACGATGCAGATCTCTACCGTCGCTGGCATTTGGCCTACGGGTGCTGAGGTAGTTCCACTGGATAGTGAAGCATTGGTGGCAAAGTTGTGTGCAGCGGTGACGTTGAGCGACAGTATATTGATGTTGCTTAAGTCGAGAGACGAGAACGTCTCTTTAGTGCAGGAACTTGATGCTGCCGTTACCCCAGACAGGGATAATATCGACATTGAGGCCCACGCCATGGAGCGGAGAATCATGTTGACTGATTCGATGCGTTGACAGTGTCTGCGAGGATCCAATCCGGTTAGTATGGCGAAGGACGATGAATAGAAGAACTGCAGACCAGAATCTGCAAAAACGGTCGCCGCATGTTACCCGTTATGTCGGATGCCAGCTGCAGACCGATTTATAAGATGAAGGCAGCGTCCACCAGCTGCTCTCATAAACAATCTCAACGATGTCTGAGAAGAAGATCTTCGCTCGGGAAAGAACAACGGCAGTCATAATCCTCCCCCGCAGCTTCACAGGCTCCGGAGAAAAGTCCAGATGACGCGAAACCAAAAAGACCGTCGAAGGTGGACCGGAATGACCATAGAGAGACCCGCAATTTTTATCCTTCTTTCCAGTCCAATATATCCTGAAACAAGCGTCTTGCTGTAATCACTCTAAAAGAGGAGTAGTTCAGTCCCCAAGCAAAATGCGGGAGAGAAGATTGGTCAGAGTCCAAACGTTATGAAGTCGGATGAAGAATTCGGCATTGATTAGCGTGGTTCGTGCACATGCAAAGGCAGTGTTTGCAGACTTCTGCAATCGCTCTCCACATTTTGCTCGACTGGTTTGTGGGGTAGACAGTGTTTCCCCGGGCGGGGGAGAAGTGAGGGGTATCCTGGAAACTATTCAACCATCATCATATGCTGTTGTATTGAGGAAAATCATGTTGTTGTTGATGATGCTTCACGCATTGCACAATAGAGACTGTAATATGACTGTATCCCATAATCCTTCAGGAGGAAAGGATTGGAGTGCAGTTGATAGTGTATGGGGAGGGTTGGTTTCGGTCGGAGAGAATCCGCTCCAGTATTGCTACACACCTTACCTAGAAAGGTTAGTGTCGATTATTTCTATAAAAGATGGTTAGTTAGGGGAATCTCAGGCAAAGATATCCCGTAAAATATTTTCGGCAATCACCCTGTAAGCCATACTTCCTTCCGGCCAGACGAACAGACATCGATTTGCCGGTATTAGCTTAGTGATGGGATCTTCCTTGGATGCAAGAAAGCAACAGCGGCAGCTTTCAGTCAAATATAACTGCTGGTATGAATCATGTGATAGAAATAATTTGCCGGCTGCACATCCTCCTGAATGTCTCTTCTTTGGATTCAGGTGTAAGTTGTCCCGGGGCTTTCGGGGCCATTACTGGGCTACTACTATCAGATCTGCTACCGGACGTGCTATGGAGGCTACTATCATGAAGCGATAACAGGATCAACACCTTGACGCGTAGCATGCAGATCACTTAAAATATGAAATAGAACAGCAGTAGATATACCTGTCAGTATGATTTAGATAACACTGTTCCTCATTTGAAAGATGAATCGTTTGCTAGGTCGTGTATCATGCCTGACCGAATCCCCAGGAACTCCCTTCTATGCACATTAGTCGGTAGAATTATACATCACAGCTAGGCCAATTCATAACGGATCGTCTTCGTCGTTTTCAGCTCCTGTGGGGGCAGCTCCTGGGGCAGTTGCTCCATTGCAGTGTCGGTGTCCATCTCCGGGAAATTGTAGGAGGCAGCGCCCTGGGGTAGCTCCGCAACCTCTCGTGGCTCGAGTTCCGCAGCCTGATAGCCGCCTTTGGAATCAGTGGTCACATCCTTCTCCGGTGTTACTCCGGCTCCACTCGCAGCTTGCTTCCTCTTTTTGCGGAGGATGAGAAAGGCCACAGCTGCGATTAAGGCGACGCCAGCAACGGATCCGACTACAATACCAGCAATGTCTCCGCCAGAGAGCCCACCTGAGCTTCCACTACTTTCCGCGTCCATGCTTGTTCCGTTGGTGCTGGATCCCGTGGTGCTTGAGCTATTGGAGCTCCGTGACATCAATAGATTCGCAGTAAATGCATTCACGGCGCTCATCGAACTGAAGAAATTGGGATCCTTATCATACGTCGATTTGGTCCAATCGGAACCACAGACAGTGCCGTTGCTCATGCCGCTGCATTGCTGGGCGGCAGCCTCTGCAGTGTTACGGAGGAGGGGCTCAATTGTGTCCACAGTGTCAGGCAAAAGGTGCGTCACCACCGCAAGGCATGACGCTAGGAGGCCTTTCAAGGCGTACGCAGTATCATCACCCCAAGTGGCACTCCGGAAACCTGCGTCCGGGTTGAACAGCGCTCCAAGTTCCTGTATCACACCATCGTCAACAAATTTGTTCATGATGGTATTTAAGAGCCCTTCTGCCCTTGTCTTCCAGACATCTGCGCCGGTCTAGGTTGAGAACACATGATTAGTTATAGTTCCAATAACGTATCGTGGAGACTTTCGAAACCCACCACATTATACAAGTATGCCGCCGCGCTCATATACAAGCCGTAGACATAGGTGAATTCAAAATTATTGGTTTCATACGTTGTGCAGTTTCCTGAAGCGGTCCTATTCACCACCAGGAAATTGACGGTCCAGTTCGACTCCACCACCATATCGTTATCCACGCACCAGTTCCAAATCCTTACTGCATCATCTGTATAGGATGACCGGTTATCGCCCGTGGTGAGATACGCTAGTCGCGAAGACAACTGCAGGAACTCTCCGTTACTTAGAGCGTCTTTCATTGAGAGATTCGTCTCTGCTATAGCGTTATTGGCGATTTCGAGGCCACCATCGCACACAGTTGAGAATGTGAAGGTACTCCTCAAGGTCCCCTGAGCCTGACCTGCGTAGAACAGCCAAGACTCCTTGGAGGAGTCGGCCGGAAAGTCCATCTCAGCCGCTGTGACAGCACCCAGCGCCCAAGCTGCATGGTTCATGTTGGTATCGTTGTAGGATTCCGACCACGAGTCTCCGAGTTCCAGTCCTGCCATACTATACATGCGCTTGCTAATAAGATTATTGTAGCTATCGTTTCCAGTGAGATTCCAATACGGAATCAGAGTCGAGTAGAGCCACGCCTCCACGGTGGAGGAGTTAAATAGCCACTCATTAGTATCACCATACACCGGGTTGACATTGCCGCTTAGTGATGAGTTGGTGAGCGTGTTCTGAACTGTCACTGTTGCGGCATCTTTGAGCGACTCTGAACGTGGCGCAAAAGAGGGCCAGTTAGCTCATCGGTCCCTTCGCGATGATCCAGAGGAGAGAAACCTTACGTGTACTGTTGATGTCCAGATCCAGTGCTGACACCGTAACGGAAAGCCCAAAAAGCAGACATGTCCCAGCCTGATACCACATTGGGCGTAACATCACTCCCAAAGGTGCTAATGCACAGCAGGATGAATAAACACGAAAAGAGGTGACGACACCAGGACTAGGAGCGAAGTCCGAGCATTTATGCCTCTAGAGAAGTAGATTTTCAACTAGCAATGCCTGCCCTGGGCAATTTAAGAGAAAAACAGCTTCGATTGGCGGGACGTGCTAAAGCAACTCGGGGCACTGTAACGAGACACCACCGCATGCGACGATATTTAGCCGGCCCACTAAAGCCTTTTCTGTGACTCCAAGACCCTCAATGTTTTAGAATCTGCTCATTTAGTAGGCTCGGCTTCAACGGCTTCGGTATGGCTGACCCCATCTGTTGGTCGGAAAGATCGAAGTGATTAGCTTAGCCCGATGGGGATCGGACAGGGATCGTGGACAAAGAATCGGCTCACACTAACTCGTTAGTACGGAGTCGGCGATGCGCGAGCAGGGCAAATTTGACCAACGACAGAGAAATCGTTTAGTCGATTGCCTCTGCGAAGACTCCATCATCATTAAAAATCTGTCGGAATGATTATTTTGTAACTGAAATCATAGTCAAATCCCATGATACCAGTGAATGGAATAGACGTTCCATTGAGCTGAAGTGGAAGGAGAGAGAGGGAATGAGGAACTATCCGCCGCACCCACGGGACTAGTCTACTAGCGAAGTGACTTAACAACAGTTGGTAATTTCCCACCCCTGCTAGACCTTCCCCACCGCGGCCCCGAAGCCGGGGTTTCGCGCGAAACCAGTGGTGAACCTAAACGAAGCTAAGGTCTGATCCTGGTCAAGCCTTGACACCGGCCATCGCTGATCCATCCCATCCCTCCCCGATCAGCTCAGCGTCTTGCTTTTTAGGGAGTAGTACGGAGTACTCCATACCAGCGGCTTTTGTGACCTGATTCGGTGGAATCGCGACTCAGCTGTGACTTGTTGGTCCATCACTTCGCTAAGCATGCGCTATTTGCGCTGTCAGGACGCCATTCCGATCAGCCACTCGACTGTGTTGTCCGGCGGAGGTTCCTGGCTTGCCCGGAGATAAAGCGACTCTTGTCGGATGCTGCCCTGCTCTTTTTGTTTGGCACAATTTCAGCCGCTTGAAGATCGTCTCAAAGGCTGATGAAGTCAGGTGTCCTGTATGGAGTAGTTGGAAATCAATGGTCACCAAGTTTTGCAGTGATGAGCAAGGATCTATGTTCATACAATCATGTAATACCATGAGATGTAAACCATAACAGTAGTGTTTCAAGGCTGTGCATAAGCCACAAGCTGCACCGCCAACCAGAGTGGCTGACTCGCTTACGGTCTTTGGGCAACGAGGCTCTTTTGTCGGGCAGCGGCCTCTATCTTGTCAGGCTACAGCTGCTGAAGGGAGCTGAAGCCGGTCCTGAATGATTGGAAAATTCGAGTTCGCTTACTCATTGCGCTACCTACGCTTTTGTATCACATACATACGTCAATGGGCTGCACCTGGATAAGCACGATTCGCGTCTTCTGAACGAAAGGATACAAGTGATGCCCACCAAGGAAATCAATTTAGATGGAGAGAAGGTGTATCTATACTTGCTACACCAATGGAAGAATCACTAATCGCTTTTGTGTGTCAACTAACACTAGATAGTAGTCCAGTATCTGTCACCCAACCTTTCAACATTGGCTGGTTATTAGTAGTAAACACTAGTAGTGGTGGTGGTGGTTGTTATTATTGAAAGTTTACTTAGTAAGTAGTCTGCTTCGGTTAACCTCGGTTTAGCAATCGCATCTTCGGCAAGAGGAGGCTGCTTATCATCGTCATCAGTCAGTGCCTCCTGCACATGACCGTGTGTTCAGTGAGGCAGGTGCGTTTCCTGTCCGGCTCACCACCACCCTTCTTAGTACCTTCTCTACTCTCCTCACTTTCACTGGGCTGTGCCATTTCCATGTCGTCCGACTCCTGCTTTTCGACCAAATGAGTGCTCCTCAGCCGGGCTCCGAATTCTTCACGGCCTGCGAGAATATTAAGACTGACCTGGAGAAACATACTAAGCGACGATGCGAGCCTGTCAGCCGGTTCATTTCGCATCAAGATCTGTTGCAAATTTGGCAGACGGAAGATCGCATCCACAAAGTGCTCTATACCGATCGCCGCATCGATGACGATCTGCAGAACATCCAAGACAACTTCATTGCCATCCTTTCCACTCTCGTATCAATCGAGGCCACACATTGCCTAGCAAACTTTCGGAGTTTATTTCTTGCTGGGAATATAACCGATAAGGATCTTCCGCTAGAGCGAGAGCAAATCGAAACTTTCCTTCCTGATCAACCACAGCAAGTAGGCCGATTCGATCAAATTCAATGCGACTTTTGCCCAACAGTGATCTCTTGTACAACGCCCCTACATTGCGTTTCTTCCAAGCGTCGACTACCGTTCGAGATTACGCCTGAAAAGCTGGGCATCGGGGGCTTTGGCGAAGTGGAATTGGTGACTATCACGCCACGGTATTGGGAAACGGATAGTAAAAGTTACTACAACTTCGCCTATCAAGTTGCCTGCAAGAAATTCGACCGTAAGGAAGCTTTTCTCAGAGAACACAAGAATCTCAATATTTTGAAGGAGAGTTTGACAACACAGCATCACATTCTGCAGCATTACACGGCTGTGGACCATGGTCCACACAACTACTATATTTTCTTCCCGTATGCCGAACATGGGGATCTGTACCACTTTCTATATGGTGGTGCTGGGAGCTATGAACTTCACAATCAATTTCCTGGCATACCGGAGGAAAGTGATACAGCTATATTCAAGCCATTGTTGTATCAATGCTGGGCTCTGGCATGCGCTATTCTGTGGTTGCACGACTATATTCAGGTTGATGGCGAGCACATCATGTGTGCTCATTTAGACCTCAAGCCGGACAACATCTTAATCATGAATGATGCAAGCTCTGTTGTAGGGAAGTGGATGATATCTGACTTTGGCATTTCCGTGCTTGAACCCCAGAAGCTTGGTTCAAGCCGTCCACTGAGTGTCAGAGGCTGTTACCGGGAACCGACCATTGAAGTGAACCCTCACCGGGGAAGAGGGACCTATCGACCACCGGAAGCTATTATCCGAACAGGATCAACGGTCATGGCCAACAAGATAGGTCGTCGAAGTGATATTTGGGCTTACGGATGCATTTTCACTGAGGTACTCGCCTGGGCAATCGGGCGACGCGAAGGTGTTCGGCATTTAGCCGAGACAAGGCAAATTGAAGCAACGAATGACTATTACTGGGATGAACGGTTTGTTCAGAGCTTGTCGCCTCAAGCGACAGGCTTTAAAGTACGAGATTCGGTTGTCCGATGGCTTGAGCACCATCAAAATTCCACTGAGAGGGTAGTAGGCGAATGGGTGAAGACAATCAAAGGCATCCTTATCATAGACAAGGAGCACAGGCCCAAAGCGCAAAAGGTTGAGGAATACGTTAGAGGTGTGTATAAATCATGCGACCTGCCTCAAATCCGCGATTCGCAGCCACTCAAGTCCTCAGCCGAGCCTTGGTGTAGGCAGTCAAGCAGTTCATCAGCTAGCCAGTCTCACAATCGATCAAATAGTCGATCCAGTGAGCTACGCAGTGAGTCATTCAGTCAATCATCGAGCCCCCCACCCAGTCAGTCATCGAGTCAGCCTTCCAGTCCATTATCCAATCAGCCATCCTATCGAATGTCAGATCCCCGAGAATTTTCCCGAGAATTTCTCAGAGAGTCAGACCTGCAGGGACCGAGCAAGCTACTACCACATGGCAAAAAACATGTCATTGATATTTATATGTCGCGGACAAGTTGCCAAGGCAAGGTCTCAATTGCAGTAGTATCCAATGACAAAGTTGAAATACTGAACTTGGACCTTACGCAAAAAGAAATCGAAGAGGTTGGATCCTTATCACTGTTTGGGAAATTAGGTAATGCCGAGGTTGTCATCGAAGGCCAGTACCTCGCAGTTTGGGGTTTCTGTAAAGGTTCCCGTAAGGGAGAAGGGGGAAGAATGGTAAGTTTCTTTGTGCAGCTTACGGGGTTGTACTAATGAAACTAAGCTTCATATTGGGAAGGTCAATTCAGGTTTCGAGACAAGCCTACCCATAGTCCCCGAGTTAATTGTATCGGTCGCCGTATCTCCGCGTGGTCTATTCGCTTTAGTCCAGGACAAGGACATAATACTCCTCTCTCGGTCGTCCCAATCGTCATCAGATGTGCGGCGCACCCTGGCCTTGCCCGTCTCGGATCAATCATTTGCGCAGGCCATATTCAACGCCAGCGGCGACTTCTTGTTTGCGTGGGCAAGGAGCTCAAAGCAAGAGTCTCTGTACGTCTGGAAAGTCGAAGGGATGGCAGGTGAACCAGACTTCGCTGTTCACTATTCTCTGGTAGGCCATAACAGCCACCTGTATTATATGATGTGATACTAAACAAACATGAAGCAGCATCGGTTTCATTGGAATACTTCAATTATTCCTTATAGTTCTGGTAAAGGGTGCGTCCTTGCAGATGACCAAAACAGGTACACAGCTGTTACTCTGAATCAGCAGCGCAGTGGATCACATGGCGTTGAACCAGCGCGCATTGAGCGCCCATTTGATACTTTGAATGTGATAGTCAGCTGCATGATTGGTGATGAGTATCTGCTCGGGCTAGTCAAAAGCGGTCATCTGATTACGGCACGATTATATCTACACCGATTTGAAATCACCCGCCGAGAAAACCAAACGCATGCCTCAATTACCCGGGGCCGTGAAGTCCTGGAAGTTCCAAAGGGCTTCAAGCAGGCCACCAAAGTACGGGCCTATGAGCAGCTGGGGGTAGCAACAGTGGTATTATGGAACGAGACCGGCTTCTTCATATCTGACCTACCTCCCAGTAATGGGCATCATTGACGCATGACAATTAGCCTAGACTGCAAAAAGAAAAGAAAAAGAAAAAGAAAAAGAAAAAGAAACAACGACTACTGGATTTATAGTACACCTCACCCACTTGCAAACTCCTTCCCAGCCTGCATCTCTGGCTCACTCATGTCTTCCTTCCCCGGACGCTGGAAAAAGCGGAACGGCTTCCTTTTCCACCAGGCATCGAACCATACAATTAACACATATATCAACCCTGTGATCATGGTCAGCGGTAACCAGGTGGCGAGAAATACCCAAAAGTCCTTGGCAATAACAATTTGGCGTAAGTCCTCATCGAAGACGAAGAAATTCATTCCATATAAGCTGACGATGAAAGAGCCGGGTAAGTAGATTGCCGAAACGAATGTGATTACTTTGACTGCGGCGCTGTCATTCATGTTGTCCTCCTGCAACCGTTTTAAGCTACTGGTCAGATCGCGCAGTTCACTGTCGACTCTTGCTGTTTCAAGTTGATTGTGCAGCGAAAGTGTATAGCCGGCCTGGGTTGCGTTAGCATAATGCCCTTCGATTGACAACACAGAGGATTTGGAAGCCAACCAGATCAATCGCGTTCCTCATTCTTGGAATCAGCTCTTCACAGCTCTTTATGTAGCCCTGGAGCGCTAATAATAGTGCTTCGCACCCCGGTAGAGCTTGTCCCGCGGCGTCCAATGTCCTCCTACGCAACGAAGAGGCAATGACGGGCTTAAGGGCGCTAACTAAGTCCAGGTTGCCACGACAGCATATATGTGCGCGCAGGGCAAAGTCATTCAAATTGCGAAGCTCTGAAACCGTTTTATAGCTCTCTCTCGGAGTGGATTCATCAGGTAAGTCCACCAGAGCTCTGTCATTCTGATTTAGTGAAACCTGTTAGCCCAACCGTCATTGTGCTATTATGAAAGGCCCGACCAAGGGAGGTAAGACGGTCAGAACCTCGCTGGGAAATTGTGAACCCTACATATTCTTCGAATCGGTCTCCGAGATAACGAAGATACCATCTCCAGTTGCAAATGGAGGAGAGCACTAGCGAATGAACCAGAATTGATTGGTCCTTGGCTTCGTTTCGGCTTAGGCCTGGCTGAAATCTCGAGTCTTCGAAGATCCCAAGCTCGTTCAGGATTCTTTTGTCTGAGATACTATCCGCATTTGGATGAAGGAGAATGAAAAAGTCGTATCCTTTTTCATTCTGACTTGGTTGGCGACGGTGGTGGTACACCCCAGTGTGGCGCCATGACCACGGTATCAGCCTGCGTCCAGTTTTCTCAACATAGTTGAGCTGGTATGAAACATCTACTCGTCTCTTGTTACCGTTTGTTCTCTTTATGTCGTAGGCGTGAAAAAAAATATCAGGACTCACAGGTGTCGTTGTCTCGCTCGTTCACACACAAAAGGCCATTCCCTGATTCTGAAATATGAACATTTCTCCCAAAAGAAAGCAGCACTTGAATAAAGGATGGATGTACGGCATATCGCTCTAGCAATAGTGCCATTGACAGCGGAGTAACTTCTAGCGGGGCAATGGCGGCTGGGGAGTAGATGGACCTATTTGATCCAAATGTTGATTAGCACCTTATTATATCGGTGGACATTGGCCAAGGACAATGCACACATACACAATCCTGATATTCAATCCATCTGGTATAGCCGACTCTGTTGTGAGAAAGTCCTGAAGCGATTTTGAATTCGTGTGGAGTTTTGTTGCACGATGATCTTGCGAGACATGGGCGTGAGTTTGTATGCTGCCACAGAAGGGCCTTAACGTTACCCACCATCGTAGACATCCGTTACTCGGACGTGCGTTTCGTTTTTGCGTGTCAATGCCCGTGGGACTCCGTTTAGAAAATGGTCCTCAAAGTTGGCGAGGTTGACCGAGGAAAGGTCGTGGTGAGAGGGCAGTTGCTGCAGGTAAGGGCGCCATATCTGGACCGGGTCATCGTCCACCGTCATTGTATTGGCTTTTTTTTCTTTCCCTTCTTCGCACAACTTCGTTCCCACTTTCGCCTAGCTTGAGATGACAGTCAAACTTGTCTTTATATTGAAAGCTACATGGAAACCAGAAAATTTTCTGTTTGCGAGTCTTTCGGTCTTCGGGGCCACGATGCCTTCTGAATTTTCGGGTAAGCCTTGCCGACCAGCGTTCAGCAAGGCTGAGGGATGAGACTAAATCATACGGATATGTATGCACAGCGCCTCGGCCAGATTGATTGGCGGTCACCTACGGTCAAGGCTGACTATCTAGGACTAGTCCTCTAACAAACAACAGCATAGCCTGTCTGCGCCACGCCCACCGTCCATTGAAACATTTCCTCGCCCTCCTCATCGCGTCTTCCGAAGCTTGCCACACTGGTACAGCCGCCCGAGCTAATGCATTGGGGCCAGCCATCAAGATGTTCCTATCCATACAGACGCCCTGCTTCATCATCACGCGGCCAGGTACGCTGTGGTGCGGCTTCTTAGTTCCAATACCATTTCACTATAGTGGGAGGTGGCTCAGGTCAGCCGGGCGTCAGTGGATTGATGTTTAGACACATACTCCAGTTCTTCCTGTTGGTCAGTAGGTTAGCCTCTAACTTCTCCTTTTGCAATCAGAAGACGCACAGCCATGACGTACCTTAGTAAATCTTATGCTAGCCCAAACACACCATCGGTCATTGCGAAACTGTGGGTTCGATAGTGGTCATTAGCGTCAGCTGGTCCATCGCGTTGTATGTCAGGCTTGATGGTCGGCAGAAAACCTACTTCCACCTTCGTCTGGACCTGGTTGTCATATCGCTCCCTCACATAGCTTGTTATTTCCTCGTCCATTTCGATGTACGATGATGCGGCTGAGGTAAGTTCGTGCCGATATGGAAGGTTGGAAGAAGCCATAGAGACTCAGATGAGGGAAACCTGAATGACCGTGGTCGCAAGGTTGTAGCCGCTGTTCCCCAGAGTTTCCAGTGACAGTTCCGAGCGCTGGTTATATACAATGAGCCGAATCCTCGTGTACGACTGCTAGCATTCAAATAATCTGTTACCACTACAGAGCGCCATGCCCACCAGATGAGGCTCTCGAGATTTATCTGCGTGCCACAATAGCACTGGACGAGGGAGGAAAGCAATCAAGGGCAGCCTTCTCTCCCCGCCCGGTGCTGTCGCGTCCGATGAGGCTGCGGATGTTTTCTTATCACCAGCCAATCATTTGTTGAGATACGCCATGCAAGACTTTCAAATTACTAGTAGTTCTTCCGAGTCAGGATTAGCCTGATCTGGTCATGTCCCCGATTCGTGTGAGATCCCCCTTCTCGGTTGCCTCGTGATTTTCCCCATCCGAGAGATGCCCCGGCCTAGCGTATTTACCCATTATGCAAGTCTATCTTTACCAAGCTTATTTAGATGCTCTGCTTATTTATTTGTTGGAATCTTCCATTCTACATGTCCGATTTCACCGCACAGGTTGTACAACCTTAAGTGGGCGATGCCATAGCCGAGCACAATGACGAACCACGTGGACACATCAGAAAAGCTTAAGTATGCAATATTTCGGAATCTTTGACGATATGCTGACGGGGTCTAGGCAGGAGCTTTTTGGGTTTCAGATCTTTGTATGCATGATGCTTCCGTTGACTTGGTCGTTGCTAATAGGGCTCAGTTCATCACGCTCAGTGTTGTCATCGGAAGTGGCATATTCACCAACAATGGAATGGCCCTCGCCATTGCGGGACCAATGGGCTTGATTCTTGCGGTGCTCATCATCAGCATAGTAGTCCTAGCAGTCAATGAGTGTATTGCCGAGTTGGCTCAGCAGTTCCCGGTTTACAATTCGATCGTTGAATATGTTCGCACATTCGTCGACGAGGACTTTGGCTGGGTTATTGGACTGGCTTATTGGTAATAATTTTCAATTCGGCACCAAATACCATTTGCAGCTAACGGGGAAATAGGTATGCATACGCAGCAACGTTTGCCAGCCAAACCTCCATGGCTGCGACTCTTCTAGAGTACTGGGGCCTGGCAACGGCGTGGAGGGTTCTTATCTGCTACGTTATGGTTCCAGTCATCTTATTCCTTCTCAACATGACTGGAGTTTTCGTGAGTTGTGTCGTCGAATTGATGGATACTTAGCTGATATGATCATAGTGGTACGGTGTTGTGGAAACGATTGGTGGTTTCCTAAAGCTGGTGATGATTGTGGCAATTTCTATTTATCTCTATACAATTGCGGACGATGGTGAGTGACAATCCCAGATGGCACGATTCTAATCTCATTGCCATCATTGAGGCTCCAGTAAATGCTCACTTGTTGTAGTGTCTTCTCCTAGCTTTGAACATGGACAAGGCTTCAGCAGTAATGGCCAAGCCCAGTGGTCAGCTCGCCGCCCCCTTGCCTATTCATCTGAAATGCTAAGATGGTACCAGCTATGCTATCCCACTCACGGCATACGCTTTTCAGGGCATAGAAGTATACGCCATGACTGCGTTTGAAGCTCGAGATGGCCATGCCCTTCGCTGGCCGGCTCGCTGGACTGCGTATGTAGCGGTAGTCGTATACATCATGTGCACGTTAGGAGAGGTCATCAACGTGAAGTGGGATGATTCCGCTTTACCAAAACTCCATGATGGAGTTTCAAATAGCACATTATCAGCTACTTCTAACCCTGGTTCGTCAAGTAGCATGATCGTCATAGCCGCGCTGAACACCAATAACCGGTCAATGGCTGGATTCCTCAACGGCTGTTTGCTCTTCAGTGTCTTTTCTGCAGCCAACACTTCACTGTACGTTGCTTCCCGAACCTTATGGGGTATGGCGAAGCACTTTCCCAGATCTTCGACCAAAGAACTCTGGGTCAAGAAGAAGCTAGCGATTCTAAGCGAGGGCACCAAAGTTCCGGTTGTATTCTTGCTGGTCTCACTTCTAGCATTCTGCTGGGTTCCATTCCTACAGCTCGTGGATAGCTCTGCAGTACAGCAGGTGTGTGGATGTAATATATTTGCTCTGTGTATCTGCTAATACAGACAGGTGGTCCAAGTTATATCCATCTCCTCCAGCACCGCTATAATGATCGTATGGGCAGCTATCTGTCTCGCATTTATTCGATACTATTACTGGTTTGTGTGTCTGCTCAACATACAACAGTGAAGAGATACTCATTGCTAGCACAGGTTGAAGAAATGCGAACCCCGACTTCGGTACCACGACCGTCCTGAATACATCCGACTAGATGAAAAGTATATTGCTAAAGGCAGTCTGCGTATTCTACAACCACTCCAGGCCTGGATCGGACTGATTGGGTGTATCACCATATTCGCATTTTCCAGCGCGACGTGGTGGAGTGAAACCGCAACTGTCACCGAAGTTGCCATGGCGTACGGGCCGGTAAGCCAATGCAACAACTGAGCACTTCTACCCATTCTAACCCTGTACCAATAGCATATGGTCCTCTTTCTTATATTTATCATCTCAAAAGCGTTCAGTAAAAACAAGGGGTGGGTCAAATTGACAAACGACGAATGGGTTCTGCGGAATGCCTTGGATAGACTATGGATTCGCAAGATCGATCATCATGAAGAAAGTGCCTCAGAACGCCTGAAAAGTGTTATGAAATCGCTGTTTTCCAAATTATGGGAACGATTCAGGGATAGGCAGAACAGCCAGCAAGCGGATGGGGATGTTCATCATCGGAGTGAAGGTTCCACGTCTGCGGAGACAAACAGGCAAGAGTTGCTAACTATTTCGAACGACCAGCCTGTATAAGAGACCCAATCCTAAGTCTATGCCTTTGTCATTGTATACTCTGGACACCTGTCATTAGTTAATACTTGTAATGAAGAGATGAATCTATGAGGAACACTTGACTCAAACTAGCCATGGTTGCAAGTTATGTCTATCATCCTTGGCATTCATACCCATGGTTATCATATCTTCTTTACAATATCACCTCCAGTACAGAATGGTCAATCGACGCGTTCTAGCCATGGTTGGGTGTTATTCCTATCATCCTCAGCGAGTACTCAACAAACGTATGCTAGAGAGACATCCATCAAGATCAAACCATTCATGAAGAACCAGGTGTCTGACTAACAGCACTTCTGATGAACAGACACTTCAAGAAGAAGAATGCATACAAGATCGCTATATGATCTCAAGATACCAACTGCAAACAGACACTCGAGTCACTGGCGTTGCAGATGGCGCCGGTCGCCATGGCTCGACATACCAAGCACGCATTGGTAAAGCTCGTACGAAGGTACCAATTACAGCGATGCCAGAGCATCGGAGAGTCTGGGCCCATTCAGTAAAGGCCATTGCTCAAGGATATGTTGGCGTTTGCATCACTGGGATAAGAGCTGGATGTCGGCTCAGAATAGAGAAGATTGACTAAGTAAATGGTCATTTTCAGAGGTTCCTGTTAGCGCCTCGCCTGGCTACAATGGTCAATTGAGGTGAAAAGGAAGATTGTGTTATTCGTTCTTTCTCAACAGGAATATTGAGCTGAATGTGTCACATATGTCTGGCAAAGAGCTGGAATGTGGCTTGGGACTCTCATTGCGACTCCGTGGGGGAGTATAGCACCTTGCCTCTCATCTGAGCTTGATGTCACAGGGATTTGATCAAAAGTCGTATGTGGGCTAGAAGAGGCACTTTTATTGTGCCTTCAAAACACTCACGACTTTAAGAGCAAGTATTGACGTCTTATTCCATGCTTTGGCCTCCAGTCTTGAATGGACCCTTGAAAATGGCATCGCTCAAAAAGAATGATGAAGACTTATTGGTCTTTATAGTGACGATCCTATTGAGACAGAACGATCTTTCTTCAATCAGTCATGGTATTCTCATCTATAATAAAGGGATCGACAACACATTTAACACAAGTGCCACAGAAAAGGATTCTAATGTGGCAGAACTTGTTGGCTTGGGTAATGGGGCCTGAGCATATACATCGCCGAATAACACCATTTGGTGTCCTGCATTTGTTTCTGGCACTTGATACATCACCGGTCTTTCATATCGACTGGCGTTGGTGCCAGTTATTCTAGCTCAGGGGTTGACGAGTGGAAAATCCTCGAGGATGGTGTGCTTGTCGATAGGCTCCAAGGTGGCCTTATGGTTTCACTTTTCCAAGTTTGGGCAGATGCGGGCTGCTCGTATCTATATCGTCTGAATATCGGCAGAGAAAAGGCTTTTCAAGAAGAAGCGTGGCTTATTTGGGGTTCGGTGTCTTAATACTCCCGAGAGTTGATCTTTCTCTGGTCTAAGAGCTGTGGTAAGTAGGTCTTCCTCTTGAGGTTTGATAGGTCTGTTTAACTGACGGCGAGTCTATGGAGGTCCGCAACAGGCACTATCAGGATTAAAGCACGGTGCAAGCCCAAATTCAATAATTCCAACTTATAATATCGATCTGCCCAGGGCGGAAAGAGACCGCCGAGCACACGTTACTTCTGTGGGATCCGAATCGGCGTGGGACAAAATGCGGTTGGGAGTGAAAAGAATTTATCTAGACGCGACTGCGCAAGATACTTACAAGCTCACCGCTGACATTGCGCGTGTCAATGTTGCGAGGGTTACAGATGCTGGAATCATGACTCCGGTGTTCATGTACACGGAGCATAAGGCTCATCGACAAACACCCAAGCTCAGTCAATAATCTTGAATGCCTTGTGGAAGTAACCAACGGGTATGGTGACACAGATCTGACCGGTCCAGGCGGTTTCTGATACTAGATGAGTATCCAGAATCGCTTAAAAATATGAAATATGAGCATGGTCAGCCGGCTGAGAAAAGAACTTTCGGCTAAGAGATCCGAAGCCATAGACCATACGGTCCTCGTACATCCCGACGGGAAGGGGGGTGTGGGGATACGCAATACAATGAACAAAACGAAGCAGTCAAGATTGAAATTCTCTGGAATCATATGAGTATCCAAGATTGCTCATACTCTGGAAGCTGGATTATGCCAGTCTGTCGAACAAGAGGTTTAATGGCTGACAAGATCGAAGCCATAGACATTCAAAATGGCTCCGACTATAGCTGACAAGCCTGACCAGCCGGTCGATAGAAAGAGAAAATGGCCAACAACGTCAAAGCTACAGACATTCGAATTCGCTCCTACTATAGCAGATAAACCGGACCAGCTCATCAAACGGAAGAATCAATGGCCGACAAATTCGATGCCATTATTGATACGGTCCGTGCAAATCGCACAAGAAGCACCTGGGATGGGGACTGATAGTGCAGTCAGAACACAACCTAGTGAGCAGCATGGCATGTGGCATGTGGCATGTGTATCGCGCGCTACACTGCATAGCCTGATAACCTACGAGCCACGCACGTCAGCTCGATACTTGGAGAGTAAACTTTTCATATATGCAAATATGCCCGTATATCTACGATGCATATATGACCCAAATTCCGACACCAACATCTCCATAAAAACCGTTGGAATTGCGCCGGCTGCGAGATCCTCGCTCTCATCGCAGCCATTTGCCTCATTACCCTTTGATCTTTAGGGAGAACGAAAAGGGGGAGTTATTGTTACCAAAGCATGTCATCAGCGACTTAGTCCCAAAGTGGGAGGCGGCTTATGACCACCAACGATATCCAGACGAAGTTACACGGCATGGCGGCAGTCGTCTAAGGGCTGTCCCTACTTATGATGCTACCCGTGACCACGATAGCAAGTTCGTTGCTACAAGGGGAACTCCAGAGCATGAAAACCGCAGACTCAAACGGACTGTCAAGGACAAGATAGTGCTTAATGCTTTAGCTCAAGGCCTCTATGATGTGGAGGGTCAGGAAGAAGCTAAAGGACAAGGTGCCGTTCACGCAAAAGGAGACCCGACCATGGAAGAGCAATTTAAAGCAACACTAGAGAGGCTAGCCATGGAAAGAGGCCGTTACGCGAAAAGGATTACCGATATGAAGGTCCGTACAGACGCTGCGAAGTTGGAGTTGAGTCATCGCATCAAGGAGTTGGAGAACCAAACCCGAACTATGCAACGGGCGTTGGTGACTGCCTGGAATGTCGCGACGGAACTACAAGAGCATATCGTCGCCCTGGAGGAGCAACTGGCGCAACGTCCGCAAGCAATTATCGCTATGCCATACGAAGTTTTTTTACCTCTTTATGCCCACGTCCGGGCTGGGTCGTCGACATCCAGAGCAGCGATAGGGTGATGACTTTGCGATCGTCCGCTGCTTCGCGCGTCTTTTGATTTATATCTACTTATCTTAGTATCACCATCTATGTCCTCTGACCTTGTCCCGCTACCATACGAACCATAAGCCCGAGCAATGGCAGACAGTCCTACATAATACTCAACTCCTAAAAAAATGATCAACTCTCTGAACACATATCATCAGCGCGTGTGACGCTATGAGGAAAGCAAAACGTTTATATGATCTGAGTCAAGCTACTTATCTTAAGACGGACCGATATCTTTCTTCAGCAGGTCCCGCTACCACATGGCTCATAGCTACCATCGCAGGCAGTCTATTCAGATGCTTATATAGGACCGGTATTCCTCTCGAACAGGCCCCGCTATCATACAACTCACCCCAGTGGCAGGTAGCCTTCATCCAGATACTTAGCTTATTTACAACATAATCAACTTTCCGAAGACCTACCACCGGCGGGTGCTGACGCTCTGAAAAGAAGCCAAAGATTCGAATCAAGCAGCAATAATACCGGGAGGTCGTTGCTACTAGCCAGTTAGCCGGTCGACAGTGAGCCACAAGACTGAGGCAGCCAGTGATCCCTCTACCGTTATATGATTCTATCGCCCACACACCTACCTTGACGTGGGAACGTCGTTTTGATCCAGTCGGATGGATATGTCATTGGTGGGTGTGGCGGGGAGTGACTCTGGCACTGACGCGGTCGGCGGTTTCAGTATGCTCTCTCTGCCTTTCTCTCTATATTGGGAACTTGATGGCTTTATATATGAGGACTATTAGCAGTGCCATTTTTCCTACCGCGAACGATGTCGCTGCTGCTGCTGCTGTTGTCACTTTAGGGCACAAGTGTGCGAGGTGGAGCTGAGCTGCGCAGCAGATCCGGGTCATCCCGCCCAGCATGATATCTACATAAAACAAGGAAAGTGGAGACTTGAGCAAGGGTCAAACTGGGTCAACTGTATTGAGGGGTTCAACTACTACTTACTATTACTACCTGAATCATGAGCGATTGATTAATTAGATAATACCTCGTATCAAAACTAATATATCATTCAGATTAAGTTACAGTCGCTTACAGACCAAAGACATAGGCATCATGCTTCATCATTGTAATCTATATAATTCATCATAAAGCAATAACATAACCGATCATGTGGTATAACGCATCAAAACGCACCAAACTACCTATATGCATTCGTTTAAATTGGCACTTTTGTTGATTTTTCGTCTACACACTGATTGTCTTGAACACACTGTTTTATAGTTAGCTTCAAGTCCATAGGAATAAATATGAGAGGGCAGAGTGGAAAATGACTTACCCAAATCCAGCACCACCCGTAGCCATGATCGTACCGGGCATCTGGGCCTGCCAGTGGATTTCCTTGACGGACTCCGTGTAGTGCACGAACAGTAGCTGCGGCGGAACTTCCTGCATTCCCGCCTCGCGGTTCTCCTCCTCGTCCAATTCCACGGCCAGATCCCACAGAGTGACCGTGTTGTCGGCGGATCCGACTGCGACGACACTGTCGTCGGTCGGGTGCCACTCAATACTTGTCACGGGCTCGCGGTGGAAGTCGAACGAAGCGACAGGGGAGGCTGTGGTCTGAGATCCCGCGGCATTCGGCTTCCAGTGTCTCAGATCCCAGACGGCCCACTGTCCGTCATCCGCACCTGTCGCAAGGAGGTGGAAAGTCTGGTTGGACCAGCTCATGACGTTGACGTCGGTGTTCGAGACCTTCACATCGACAGCAGGCTTGCGCGACTTCGAGCGAACGTCCCACACCTTGACACTGCCGTCACTACTGGCAGAAGCGAAAACGTTCTTCTCGTTGGGGGACCACTGCAGTTCCTCAACAGACGACATGTGGCCGGTAAAGGGACGAGTGTCGGTGACCCAGCCACCACCTTCGGTGCGAGTCGTCACGTAGATCAATCCGTCGTTGTCACCGGTCAACAGCTTGCCGAGGGGCTGCAGCGGGGACCAGTCGAGGGCGTATCCCTCGGACTTGTGCATGCGGAGAGTAGACAGGGGCTTGTTGGCGGAGGGAGGGAGGATAGTTCCGGGGACATCGAAGCTGGTGAGATGGGGGGTAACATCGTGAATCACGACCTGGGAGTTCTCGAGCATCGTAGCGGTGATAGTCTGCGGGGGCTTGGAGTAGTCTCCGGACTGGTTGGGGGTCTGGTGGGCGCGGATACGGTTGGTTGTCGATCCAAGGGGAATGCTCTTGTGTTCGAGGATCGCCTCGCTGTCGTCGTCCGAATCGGAGTCGCTGTCCGAGTCCATGCCATCCTCCTTGTCCATCTTGCTCATGCCGCTGAGCTTCAATACCATGAGTTCGTTCTCCTTTGCCCGTCTGCCCTCAGCTTGTGTGCCCGTCACGGCGTAGACAGTAGCGGGGTAAGTCTTGCGGTTGTCGCCCAAGGAGTCGCGCACGATATCGAATGATAGACAGGGCCACGGGGTGCTGAGAGTGTGCAGCATGTCGTACGTAGACGGGTCAGGAGAGAGGACCTCTCCGGGCGCCAATTTTGTCCTTCCGGGAATGAAAGTCTGCTTGTCTACCTCCATTGCATCTGAAGAACCAGTCGGGGTTAGTATGGCTGCCGCAATCGAGGATGGCAGTATGCGATTGGCAGGACCGGTCGCATTGGGCGCATAATCGTACCTTTCTCTTCCTCCTCCCGTTCGGCATCAGGACGACCATCTACACCAGCCTCGAGAACCTCATCTTCACTCTCGAACTCATCCTCATATTCGTCCTCGAACTCCCCCACCTCATCGGGAGGGGCATCGACGACGGGACGCTCACCAGCCTTGAGGGCGGCGTTCTGCTCGTCGGAGACGTCGGCGGATCTCTTGGACATGATGAACCGGTGGGACGTGTAGGTGTCGGGGAATTAAAATTAAATGTCGGTCGTCCACAAACCGGTTGAGTAGCAGGAGACTGACTGAATTTCCTGACCGCGAGACTCGGGGAACTTTTTTTTTTCTGTTCGCCAGGCCGAAATTCACGGGACAAGGGCGCTAAGCCTATCGGGGAATAGACCCGATCGGAGACTGGCGCCCGCTTTTTGCTGGCTTTGCTTTCTGGAGAGCTGCGGCTGTGTTTGCTTGTCTTGCTTTCTCCTCCAAGGGGCTGTTCCTCATCCCTCCTCACTCCTCAGCTGGCCCTGTCCTTCTTTCCCTCTTGTTGGTGCTGCTCTGCTGTTGCTCCGTGGTTGGCACCGCCTTCGTTTTACTCACACTCTCTGGTCTCTGCTTGGTGCCGCTAAGTTGCTTCCTTATCGCCCCCATCATTCCACACCGGCTAGTGCACCTGTCACATTGTTTGGTTTCTGCAACAAAAGGTGCATACCACCACTACCCAAACCCATCCTTCCCGCTCATTGCTCCAGACCGGGTCCCAAGCTATAGAGCTTGCATCCCAAACATGATAACTGACAAATCAGTAACCACCTAGATCATTCTCTCCTCCCCTTTGTCATCGTCCGATTCTGTTCCGTTGGATGGGTTCCGGGAAACCGGTGCTGTGATCCCAAATCCTCAAATTCGGTTGGTCTCAGCATCCCCGCTCCACCGGACTTCGACCGTGTTTACGCTTGGGACTAATCCACACCACCCACAGATACCATCCGAACCCAACATCTGTCATCCAAATATGGATGCCTCGCAACTGCCCGTGGCCGGCGCTTCGGATGTCGCAAACCAGGCGCATCTGGAGCAGCCCCAGAGCCTTGATACACCCGCTCCCGCAAGCCTCGGACTGGCGGGACCAGACGAGTTCACAACCTCAAATGGCTACAGTAGCGACTCGCGCGCCCACTACTCCTCCCACGAATTCAACTCTCCGGCTCGCGATTTCCACAATGAGAACGACCAACCTCGACAGAACTTCTCCCCGCTAACCCATCAGCCGCAACCCTTACCATCATCCCGTCCCAGCTCCGAAATGTCCAACAGCCTGCCCCAGCCTACACACGACATCAGCCAAAAGCAACCGTCGCAAGCAGCCAAGAACAGTGTGGTGATCAAGGTGGGGATGGTCGGAGATGCACAGATCGGAAAGACCAGTTTGATGGTGAAATATGTGGAGGGTAGTTGGGATGAGGATTATATCCAGACTCTCGGTAGGCAGCAGATTCTTGCGCGGTTCAATAATGATAATGCTGACCGTGATGTCAAGGCGTCAACTTCATGGAGAAGACCATCTCCATTCGTAATACGGAAATTACGTTCTCTATTTGGGATCTGGGTGGCCAACGGGAATTCGTCAACATGCTTCCCCTCGTGTGCAACGATGCTGTCGCAATTCTGTTCATGTTCGATCTCACGCGCAAAAGCACACTGAACTCGATCAAGGAGTGGTACCGACAAGGTCGCGGGTTCAACAAGACGGCCATTCCCTTCCTGATCGGTACCAAATATGACCACTTCGTCAACTTTCCCCGCGAGGACCAGGAAGAGATCTCAATTCAGGTGAGTGATATTGCATGTGAGGTGTCTTAGCGCGCACTGACCACCTATAGGCGAAACGGTTTGCCAAGGCCATGAAAGCCAGCTTGATTTTCAGCAGTACAAGTCACAGCATCAACGTGCAAAAGGTATGTTCAACTCTATGCACTACATATCTGTTGTTAGTGCTGACAACATGGTAGATCTTCAAGATTGTCCTGGCCAAGGCCTTTGACCTCAAGTGCACAATTCCCGAGATCGAAAATGTTGGCGAACCCCTACTACTGTATAAGAACGTCTAAGTCACGACCAAATGAGTGGGATGAACGATTACGTATAAGGGACGACGTGATGTTGATGATCGAACTTTCCCTACTTTGGGCTGTAGGATACGGTGATCTGGTGCCAAGTCCTGGATCCAGAAGCGACTGGTCTGTTGGTGTCCTCGCTACTTTCTTTGTCTATTTCCGTCTGTGTCTTTTCCTCATAAGCATTGGGATGCGCTAGGATTTCCTTCGTGTTGATCACTTCTCTTTGTTCTTCCATTTCCTTTCGCTTTCACTGTGTTAAATTCCCCACATTGTTTCTACTTTTCTCTTCGTTGAGCCCGTCAGCCGCAGGTGACAAGTCACATGGCGTGCCTGCGGCGATGGAGCAGGAGTGCTCGGTTACGGCATTGGCCTGATATATTTCTTTTACTTCTATTTCTTTTTCTACTACATGTCATTACAGCCACAGTGGATACTGTTTCTTATGTTCAGATAGCTCTAATGTGACCTGAGGTATCATCTGCCTCTGCAAGACTGCATACTTTATCCAGCAGGTCTTTCCCCAAAGCAGTAAGTATTTCAAACGGAAGCTTTCTGGTACAGTCTGGCACTGTCCACACCCACCAAACGCACTATTTGATAAAGAGCTACAGCCAAGATATATCGAGAAGTATCCCGAACCATGATAGCCCCCATGAAATTATGCCTTTGTACTGGAACGCAGGATATAGTTCCCATTTCAGCTAGCAAACTCTCGGACAAGAGAGCCTATGGTGCCAATCTCCGACGCGAATTTAAGTCATAGAACAAGCATCCAGCACATAAATTGGGACTTAATCATCTATGCAGTCGTGTCTTACATCCATGTCCGTTTCCTTTTCGTCTGCTTCATCCAACAAGCGCGATGCCTTTTCATTCCTATATTCTAGCCAGGCCATGACAGTTGCTTTATGCATTGAGTGAGAAATATATAGTATTAAACAAAGAGTGGCTTCTCCACACCAGGTTGTAGTTCGGTATTCTCAAAGTAATAGAGTCTATAGTATTAGTATGTGCTTTCAGTTGCTAGTTTGGAGACAGACAGACAATAGTACCGTCAAATCCATTTAAATTATAATCCGGATAAGTTCGGTTATATGTAGTAGTCATTTATTTGCGTTATTAGTACCTACAGCGATGGATACGGAGTTAAGGAATCGATATATAAGATACTCTGTTAAACGCCTTCGATGTTCTTTTCCTTTTTTTATCTTTTCATAATACTATCATGTCAGCTCTTGCTCTTCTGTTGTGTCAGTACTTGGCTATAATATGGTATGGAATTTCAATAATACAATACGACTACTAGCCTAGCCCTTGAAGAAGTTAGACCATCAATGGTTTGCTCGCAGAATTTTCCAAACATGTATTCAGAGGCCCTATTAATGTTAATAAACTTCGTCACGATCCCTAAATAGCCACCCTTCTTCCAACAGCCGAATGTCTTCCTCATCCCCTTCCGCACTCGCTATTAGTGCAGACTTGAGTTCCGCAACTCTCTGGACAGTCTCATCATAGCGTTCGTTACTGACCCATCCCTCTTCGGACACACCACCTACTTGATCATACCACTGACTCACCACCTTGTTCAGATTGAGCCATGTTTGTTCTTCATCGTGAAAGTCATTCAGTTCTTCCGCTGAGAACTTTACAGGGCAGTGCTTCCCCTCTGTATCAGGTAGGTGAGGCCAATATTCCACCATCCGGACTAAAGCTCCCTTCAAAGTGACTAGATTTCCACTCCACTGACGGCCCGCCCTATCAACGAGATGCTGCCGGGGAAGCAGAATAGGGTCACGTAAAGCTTCAAGATGGGGTTTGTTGTAATGACCGTTGAAGATACGGTAATAATAAAATAGTAAACGTCGCCGGTAGAGTTCATCCGCCTCGGCTTTTTCCTGGGACGACAGGGCCACATAGTTCGAAGGAAGTGATGGTTCTCTAAGATCAGTTGACTGTTGGAGATCAGGGTTTTCAAAAGCACGAGGATAGCCAGCTGCCAACAGGCGTGGCTCAATGAAGGTGTGCTGCCAGTCAATGATACAAGACACAGCACCAGACTCTGGTGAAATAAAGATATTGTTTGGGTTCATATCTTTGACTTATTAGAATGAACAATGGCACACCACAATTAGAAAACTTACCAGGATGCCGAAGTGTTGGTTTATTGAGACGGCTATTTGTGTCCTCCGGGAGCAGAAATGGAACTAAAGCGAGGTACTTGTCCAGAAGTGGCAAGTAATCAGCCGGATACTTCAACCCAGGAAAGACGCCATTATATGGGAAGTCCAATTCAACTGGTTTCCCAAAGCAGCGGATCCACTCAGCCTCTTTCTTAGCAATACACGCTAGGTACTCTTTATTGTTGTTCCCTGTGAAGGTGAGAAAGTGGAGGTATCATCATGTCCAATTATAGAAACTCACAGGGTCCACGATCAATATTCAGAGTGGCTCTTCTACCGTACGAAAACATGTAATCCGCTGTTGGACCAATACAGAATACTTCAGAGTCTTCGTTGTGTGGTACGTCGGGAGCATATAGTGCAGCCTGATGGTCCTGCTTAATGTCCGTTTTGAAATAAAGACTCCCCATAGAGCCAAAAGGGATGTTGAAGAACTTCTCCTCAATCTCAACGAAACTAGATGCAAGCTCATGCCGATCACGTTTGCTCATGCCATGCCATTTATTCTGTAATCCAACACCCTTTGCCTTCTCCATCAGGATGTATTCCACACCGACAGGGTTATCCTCTGAAGGCGAATACCCATATAGCTGGGGCACAGGGATGCCTTTTGCATGGAGGAAGCATAGGGTAGCAGCTTCGCTAGCAGTGGCATAGTACTTGGGACCGGTAAAGCGATATGGTATCTTCGCAATAACCTCGAATCCGTCATCCATTGTTATGAGAAAGACACGATTGAAGCCACCCTCTGCTAATTTAGTGATGTGAGTGGCATGCCCATGGTCCCTGCCGACAAACTTTTCAGTTTCTCGTAAAAGAGCAATATGATCGAATTCCACGTAGCGTTCGTGTAGACGGAGTGATTCGTTAAAAATAAATCTACCAGATGTATAAGAGTACAGGTCGTGATTTGCCGCGGTCCCAGAATGGAAGCTGCGGGCCGCGTGTTGCTTCAGTCTCAAGAAGCGGCAATGTGCTTGCCAGGGCAAACGGAAAAGAGATGTAATATTGAGATTGATTCGTCTAGACATCGGAGGGATGGTTTGGGTTCAGGTCATAGGATTGCCCTGTGTTGAGATTCTCTTTCGGAGGACGAGAGGATTAGTCCCTATTGACTGACAGACACTCGGACGGCTCCTTGATAAGCCAGTCCGAACTGCAGCCCGACAACACAATGCGCCCGCCCGGGCTGCCCCTTGCGGCAGCCCACCTGCTTCTCTCCTATACAGACTCATTGTAAGGACTGAGAGGCACTAATAGTAATTTATACATTCTTATTAGTACGGGATCGCCTCTTTCAGTTACAAATTGTATTGGAAGATAATCTTGGTCAGCCAGGTTGCAGAGAATAGATCGATTCATATTCCGGGTACGCTGGCTTACTCTGCGAAACCATCTGTAGCATCAGTGTGTAGGAGTAGTTTATGGATTATCTTTTCTTGGTCGGATAGGAAATAAGGAGTGGTCTCAAATCAAGCAACTTTCAAGCATTGCAGGCAACGTATTCTGTATACGTTACTAAGACAAGGGGTAAGGCGTTGTATGATAAGAATAGGCAGTGCTAAATTAGAGTGATGCAGACTAATGCTACTAACTATGCTACACTAATACCCCGCTCGCTCAAGGAAAGACTCTTGTTTTAGTAGATCTATAGCTGATTTGTCTGCCGCGAGGTCTGAGGCCTAGTTTAATCAGTCAACTTCTCAGGCTGATGAGGTATCCCAGATAATACTGTACAGTAGTTATAGTAGTTCGCTGATTTGTATATAGTTGCCACCAATGTACTAGTAGTTGAAAACTAGTTAACTAGCTGAAACGCCGCCATGATGACTCAACGGGGAGGTGTTGGGCTTCAATAACTAACTACCTCAACCCCAACCCGCTTACGTTGGGATTACCTTAGCTTTGTAATCTGTTCTCAGCTCACCCTTGTAATTTGAATATATAGCCGCCTCATCACTCCCAGTGCAGAAGAACTTTCATAAGGCACATTTCAGAAAGATACTGTCTGTATATAATATCCAACAACCCATACTCTGACAATGACGACAGGCAGCTGCTTCTGCGGGAATGTCCAAATTGAGCTTAGTGGCGAGCCTATGATAGTGGCCAGTACCTGACTACTAGGTATCTAACCCCTTCAACAAGAATAGTTCTTCTAATTTGAGAAATAGGCCCTCTGCCACTGCCATGACTGCCGCAAAGTCACAGGCACTCTGTATTCCTACAACTTCGTGTTCAAAGATGACAACGTGAAAATCACAGGGAATCCCAAAGAGCTACCGAAGACGTCTGACAGCGGAGTTCGGATCGTGAACCATTTCTGTGGGGATTGTGGTATGTATTTATGTCAATCACTCAAATTTTCGAATATCATCAATTGACCTATGGTGCTGGTAGGTACGCCGCTCTTCGGATACAAAGTCAATGCCGATGGAAGCGCGGGTGGATTTAGGGTCGTGCGTGCTGGTATTTTCGATGATGAGATCCTGAATAGATATAAGCCAGGATATGAAGTATTTACCAAGAGACGGGTATGTTGGCTTGATGCTACGGAAGGGGCTGAGCAGTTTGAGGGGATGGCGCCTCTGTGAGGCATAAAATGTTGCGGTGGGACCGTAGGTAGCTTACGAGATGAGGCTGAATGGGTAGTGTTTCGGCGTTTCATTGAATGGATTAACACTCACTGTTACCCAATGAACGAACTTTTATGCATATCGAATAACTGTTTTCTGAATTCTTACTGAAAAGCTTAGCATCAAACCTGCCATGGGGAGACTGTCCAGATCTATGAAGATTGTGGTCGACTTAAAGTGTCAACGTTAAGCTTGCAGCTTCCGGGCGGAAAGTGGAGCCGGGGTCTGGCTACAGGGTACCATGTCCATGGGACTCAGAAGTGCAAATAGATCAAGGACCTTGGTAGACAGATCGATGCCATATCATGTAGTCTCATACAAGGGGTGAATGGTAAGCGAGCCACGTGCACTGGTTATCCCCGATTGTATCTATCGATCTAACCTTATCTGTCCGCGTATGCAAGGGATAAATAATGGTAGATCTGATAGACAATCATCATAATTATACAAGGTTGTGCTCAAGAGAAGCAATTATACCATTCTAACATACTTCTAAACCCTAATTGGATAAAAATTCATCTCTAAGCTAAGCAACTAAATTCGTGACACCCTCAACCCATACCGGTCCTAAGGACCCGGACACCGACCGGTCCCCATGCAGTTTATATCCGCCCCTAACGACTAAATGCAACGCAGGATCCGGCCTCCATACAATCTCCGACCGGATGTATATACAAACTCCGAGTATACTATGTAAACTTAATACAGCAGCTTCACCACTACCACAACCTCATCCCAACAACCAACCATTCAATACACACTTACATCATAAAATCTCAACCACCTAACCACACAATGTCCCCCCAAATCCTCACCATCCTCCCCGCCACCAGCCAGCAAGGCCTCTCCATTATCTCCGCTATAACCAACCACCCAACCCTGCGCACCGAATACACTCTCCGCGCCCTCGTCCGCAACCCATCCTCTCCAACAGCCCAATCCCTTACCAAGCAAAGCATCGAAGTCCTCCCCGCGGACCTCAACAACCCAGCCACCCTCACCCCAGCCCTAACCAACACGCACACCCTAATCCTAATAACCCTAACGGACTACTCAGCCCCAGACCTCAAACACCAAGAACTCACACAAGTACAAAACGTCATTTCCGCATGCCCCAGCACCATAAAACACATCATCTTCAGCAGTGCCGTGCCCGCGCACCCTCACGGGCGGGAGGTAGACGTCTTCGACTCGAAGTTCGCTGCTGAGGAGGCACTACGCACACTCTCCTCATCCCACGGCATCAAAGTATCAGTGTTCTATCCGGGCATGTTCATGCAGAATTTCGAGACGTTCATGAGCCCTCTTCCTGATCCGGAGGGAAAGGCGGACTTGGTTGTGTATAATGTTATGGATGGGGGGAAGAAGATCCCGCTGATTGATGCGGTGAGGGATTTGGGGAAGTGTGTGGTTCCGATTCTGACGGGGGAGACTGAGAGGGTTTATGCGGCTAATGGGGTTTGGTCGTTTGAGGAAGTGGTGGAGATTATGGGACGGGTGATGGGGAAGAAGGTTCGATATGTCAGGATGGAGGAGGAGGTGTATGCCGGGTTCATGCCGGGGCAGAAGGGATGGCAGGTCGTGGATATGTTGAGGTTTTATGAAGAGGTTGGGTATTATGGGGGGGATGAGGAGGGGAAGGTGAAGGAGACGTTGGGGGTGGTGGAGGGGGTTAGGGGGTTTGAGGAGTTTGTGGGGGAGAAGTTGGTTTATTTGAAGTAAGTGGTGGTTTCATGTTTGATGTGAGTAGTGCTGTACTATCTATCTGTTTTTGTTTGGTCATTTTCTGGTGGTGTTGCTCCGGTTGTTCTAGAGAACAGTCGATATTTCGCTACTAGCTAAGGTGGCTACTTGACGAAAAAGATACATACGCTTCCTCAGCTGGTTCTGCAACTGCCTCCTTAAAGCGCTTTTCTGTCCAGTCAAACACATAGTCGTAGCTGAATCCCTGCCGCTTGAATTCGGCTGCGAATCTCTGCCGGAGCTTAGAGTAGTTCGGCCGCTGGTTATAGCGCAGCGATCTCACGTGTTCAAAGTATTGTTTGAACACTGCTGGGAGATCTTCGCACAACTCGTCCAGACTAATTCGTCTTTTCTTGCTGCCCATCTGCTGTTCGGGACTTTGCCCCCCGACAGTAGTTGTCATACCACTCCAGGGTAATTTATCTTTGAGAAGGTCAATGAGCACGTAGCCAAAGCTCTCCATGTCATCCCGATACGTCTGACCTACACGATTGTCAGTATCCTGTAACAACTAGTATATCATCAGAATGGTACTAAGGGAAGACACACAATGCAACTGATGCGCAGCCCTAGGTGCATAGTCGTTCGTACCCAGGAACGAATTTGCCTGATCTCCGTTATAAGTCATCGGATTGCCAGGTGCCAGCACTTTCTCACGCGCAAGGCCCATATCCACAAGATAAATCTTATTTCCCTCACGGCCTCTTCCCATGAGGAAATTATCCGGCTTCAAATCCCGATGGATAATACCCTGGTCATGTAGAGACTTTAATCGACAAATCGCTTGGTCGGCTATCAAAAGAACTGTCTTGAGGCTTAATTTTCCCCACAGAAGTATTTGAGGTCCCAGAGACTGGGGCCTAGAAGTTCCATACCCATGACGCGGTACTCATTACAGACGTCGGTAGGGAAGTGGAGTTTAAGCATGCCGGTGGATTTGCCCTTTTGGAGCTTCTCGTAGAAGAATGATTCCCTGGTGAGGGAGTCAGCGAGCTTCGTGCGTTCCATTTTGAGCGCAACGCGCTCTCTGGATTTGGTATTGAGGTCGATTGCTGGGATTATTAGTATTTGTTAAGAAGGAAAGGGAGGTGGGGGGTTACCTTCATAGATTTCGCCATAGGTGCCTGAAGAGATGTAATTGACGAGTTTGAAACGGTCTGCCACGATGATATCCTGTTCTCAGTCAGTCACTGTTTCTTGTGAAGGTTGAACTCACTCACGAGTTGTTTCATTTTCTTTTCTATTTCGGATTAACTCTATTGAATGATGCTGGGAATGTGTAGACAAGAGGGATGGGGAGCTGGAGAAAGCATGGCTGCTTATAGTAAACTATATGCGTATAGTTAATCTATTATAACAATGATCATAAAGGTGATAAGAATGCTTTTGTTGGGTTTTGTTTGTTAGATATGTTTGAACGGGTTTGAAGGTGTATGACTTGTCTGGCGGTGTTTGAATAGCATAATGGGCGTCTAGGCAAACAATGGAAGTCATTATAGAGTGTTTCAAAATTAGGAAAATATGATGAGCATTATACTTCAGGCATTAGCCGTCTCAACAATGCACCTGCTTTAAAGGTAGATACATGATGCTGTATATAGATACCACAGTATTACAAACAAGGAAAGCTCTTTCTATGACGCAGTTCACAATCAAACGTCAAAGACCTCTTGAACACCCTTTTGCCTGAAACTAATGAACAAAGTCCATAACACTTGAACTAGACAATAGACCACTGTTGTCAGCAACACCACACCGCTGAAACAAAGAACCAACACAGGCAAACAATGAACCCGGTGTTTACAATGCACCGTGCAACCAACCCACCTATATGTAGAAGCAAAGCAGGACGGGACTCTCAAGATGTGTCATGGTCAAATCCAACACTTCCTACAAACAGACACATCAACCGCACTGTACAACCATGGCACAAACTCCGCCAAACGACAATCAACCCCACCAAAAGGCCAGCGCAAAGCGTGTCAAACGCGAGCTAAAATCCCAGCACACCAGCCCTCCGCAAGTATTCCAACCAGCTCGTCATCTAGATCCATTGCCCTTGAAAGGAGGAATGGCAAAAACGAAGAAGTCGGCTGCCCGTCGAAGGCAAAGAAAGCTTTTCAGCCAGCAATACTGGGATGGCCATCCAAAAATCCTTTTGACGTACAGCGCACTTATGGAGTTCCGCCACCGCGAAGGAAAGATCAGATGGGGAAACGGTCGTGACGAGACACCACCTTTGAAAACTGACTGCAAGTCTGTCGAGGACTTCGCGAGAAGAGGCGGGCCTGATCTGACGCACCTGTGTGATGTAGGCTTCTGCCTTCTCTTATAAGCCAGACTCATTACAAGCTAACGTCTAACCTAGTATCAACATCGTAACAATCGGAACCGCGAATTCGATGTCCCCAAACTCAGTATGCCCGCTATCTACGACATGAATCTAGAAGGCTATCTGAATCATAACGGGGTCGAGAAGAGGTTTGGTAGGGAGCGCGAGCCGTTCAATATCGGTGATCTTCGACGGATAATGATGCAGAATCGATCCGATCTAGATAGTTTTGGTCCCGGGGCAGCGCGTGGCATTGGTAATATGTGCAGGCAATATAAGGCTAATAGCAACGTGTTGCCAGGCATCTACCTGAACCTCTTCGGCGCCCGATATGACAGCACCATGTGGCATACAGATGGGCCGTTAGAGGGAACGATAACAGCACTCAAAAAGCATTTCTACAATCTGGATCCCATAGCGCCGCACATGATCTCGGCCAGGCCTGATCTCGTCGATGGAGCCGATCCGAAGGCCCTCGTGGGCCAAGTGAAGGAGGAGAGTTCGGGGAGTGAGCCTGTGCAAACGGGCAAAAGAGGAATTGGGCAGGGAAAGGACAAGGCGACAGGAAAGGGTAAACAAAAAGAAAACCAACCACCAATCCACACAGAACTTGAAGGATATATCACCCCCTATCACCTCTTGGAGGGTGTGAAAGAAGACAAAGCAGATCCCGACAAGATGATCTTGCCGAATTTCTTTCTTTACAACATATGCAAGCATGATGATCGGCTTGCTGGGGAACGTGCTGCCTTGCATAGCGGCGCTCTTGGAGCACGGGCACTATTTGAGCTCGAACATTACGGAAAAGACTATATTGAATTCAGCGGAAAGGCGCACACGTTTGTTGCCGTGCTTGCGACTACCCATATGACTATCTACGCTATTCATGCTATTCCTCCTCAAGCAGAGGGGAGAAAGATGGACTTCCAGATTACGGCGATCAAGGCATTCAAGTTATCTGATAGGAATCTCGGGCAAGATGAGCTCGTCGCAATTGTTAAGAATGGGGTTACTGCATTGAGGAATCTCAGGGAAGAGGCACATCGCTATCGGCAAAGGCTCATTCGGAAAGCAAACGGCGAGGATGGCGACGACGATGACAGCAATAATGGAAACAGTTCCCAAAGCTATAGTGGATCAGGCAGCAGCACTAGAGCAGGCAGCAGCACTGGAACTGGCAGTAATTCTGGTAGTGGTGGTAGTGGTGGTGATGGAGGCAATGGTGCTGACGGTGGTGATGGACAAAAGCAATATGACGGTAGCATGGAAAATGGCAGTGACAAAGCTGACAGGAACCAAACTCTGAGTGGATCAGCGACGGAAAGAAAGGCGGGAGCAAATGCTGGAGTAAGCCTTTTAGAATCTATGTACAAACTCGTGGGACGACGAGCACAACCGTGACGATCTGACTGAATTGATTTTTATGCACCATCTTACTTTATATAGCTTCCATACTATACATTTATAGATGATTGATTCCACAATCTCACCCTAGCATGCAATGGAAAGTACCACTCAATCAGACCATCATGACAGTAACACAAACCATGAAGCCACAAAAGTCACGCCCCCAGCAACTAGTATAAAAAGTCAACACAAGTATGATCTATCAAATTTTCAGTCTTCAATCTCCAAACCCCACCACCATCATTACCACCATTCCCACACCATCAAGCCCATCTAAAATGAACCCCCCAAACCTCCTCCCCCACGACCCCCATCATCATCATCATCACCACCACCACCACCAACCCCCAACCCTAACAACCTACCTAACCCACCTCCCCTTCCTCCCCCTGCACGACCGCATCACCTCCCTACACCATCTATCCCAGTCCCTCACTCCCCAAATAACCCCCACGGGCACACGCCTCATCAACCACCCATCCTTCACCGGCCCCGCACCCCTCGACCACCTCGGCACCATCTACATCACGACCGGTCGCGACTGCGTGGCCAACAACGCCGACCTGACCATACGCATCCTGCACGCCGACGTCGGCGCGCTTCTCGAATCCATCTACGAAAAGAGCGGAGAGTTGCTGGATGCCGGTATCCAGAACGGGAGCGTCGTCTTGTCCGAGGAGAATAAGCTCCGGGATGGTGCGGGGGCGTGTTGTCGTGGTGAACCGGAGGTGATGTTTCGGGAGGGGTGGGCGGTCGAAGAGGCGTTGTGGTTTTATAGAGTGGATTTTGAGAGTAGATGGGAGGTGGCGGATCGGGATGGGGAGAGGGTGTTGTTTAGGGCGAGTGTTGGGATGTTGGAGAGGGCGGCGGAGTGGGAGGAAGATGAGGAGGGGGTATAGGTGGTGGTGTGCTACGCTGTTTGGATGTTTGGATATTTGGATAGGTGCTGGGAGCTACTTAGGATAGCTTGTTGATCTGCCGGGTGGATGTAACCTGATTATCGTATGGAGTAGTAGCCCTGTGCTCCCATCTGTGTGCTGGGGTAGGTGGTGGAGTGGAGTATCCGGGGTAGATCTACAGTGGGACAAAAAAAGTATGTGGTTCATGGTTTAGCTGGGTATATGGTGCTCTCGAATGAATCATCCATGTCAATGTCGATAATGGTACATATACACTATATATTCAATATTAAAGATTTAGAGTACTGTCCCTGCATCAAGACCCTTTATCCGAAGTTGCCCCTCCGATGATCGGTGCGGGGAGAATCTGAGCTCATCGCGGGGTTCCGGATATACCCTCATCCCGGGTTATAAGCCGGCTTTTCCTACCAATTATTAATCACCATAGATACTTTCTATCCACCACACTACGTTCACGATCAATCTACTTCTGAACACCATCAAGATGCCTCCCAAAGTCGCCATTCTCGATGACTACCAGAACATCTCTCCCCGGCACTTTGCCCACCTGACCTCCCGCGTCGACATCAGCTACTTCCCCGACACTCTAAACCCGCGCGACCCCGCCCAGCACAAGCAACTCATCCAGCGCCTGTACCCATTTGAGATCATCGTCACTCAGCGCGAACGCACACCCTTCTCCAAGGAGACCTTGTCCGCGCTCCCCAACCTCAAGCTCCTCCTCACCACCGGCACGCGCAACCTCGCCTTGGACTCCGCCTACTGCGCGGAGCGGGGCATCCCCGTCGCAGGCACAAAGTACCGCCTCACCGGCGTCCACTCCACAGTGCAACACACGTGGGCACTGATCCTCGGAGCAGCGCGACACATTGCGCGCGACGATGCAGCCATCAAACGCGGCGAATGGCAGGGATCACTCGGTCTGTCGCTGGCAGGCAGAACGCTTGGGTTGCTCGGTGTCGGGAAGCTCGGGGCGCAGGTGGGGCGGGTAGCAGTCCAGGCATTCGGAATGAAGGTGATTGCGTGGTCGACGAACCTAACGCAGGAGAAAGCGGACGAGCAAGCAGAGGCGATGGGATTACCGGCGGGTAGCTTTGAGGCTATTCCTAAGAAGCTGGATTTCTTCCAGCAGGCGGATGTGGTGAGTTTACATAATGTTCTGTCGGAGCGGAGCTGGGGAATCGTGGGGCGGGAGGAGCTCGGAGCGATGAAGAAGTCGGCCCTTCTTGTGAACACGTCACGCGGCCCGTTGGTGGACGAGACGGCGTTGTTGGAGACGCTGAATCGGGGTGGGATTGCCGCGGCGGCGTTGGATGTGTTTGAGACCGAGCCGTTGCCGGCGGATAGTCCGTGGAGAACGACGGCGTGGGGGAAGGATGGGCGGAGTGAGGTGCTCTTGACACCGCATATGGGATATGTGGATGAGCAGATCCATGGGTGGTATGAAGAAGTGGCCCAGAATCTGGAGCGGTGGTTGAATGGACAGGAGTTTACGGTGCGGTTGAATTGAGTTTGTGCTGATTTCTGGTCGTCCTTTGTTTGGATGTTCAATAGAAGCGGGGATGTGTGGAATGGCGTGGAATGATGTCGATGTTTCAATCTAACCAACTTACCTAGTTTATTGAGCCCAAAAATTAGACTAAGAAACTCATGCACGCATCAAGAATAGGACTGTAGTCTAATGCAGGCAACCCAGTACTATTACGTGATGTACCTCGGCTGATCCACCAGATAACCATAAACAAGGTGCCTTGTTCCGTGATCATTCCCGCCCTCCCACTTTAAACTCCATGACTCTGCCAATAGCCCTGCGTCACAATCTGCTGCCAGATCCACTCGTCCGCAGACATCCTCGGCCGATGCAACATGCTGGGGATCCTTTACGCCGATACTTAAGGAGGGGAGGAGGTGTCCGTCGGTCCTCCCAGTAACGCTCTTACTTCTTCCTACCTACATAACTATCTACCTACAATACAACCTACATTGCTACTACTACCACCACCACCACCACTATCATTACTATTTCTCCATCTACCTCTCCTCCAAAATGGCAACCACAATGACAACCACAACCACCACCACTACAACAACACAAGAACCCACTCCCACTCACCCCCACCTAATCCAAGTCAACCGCAGCCCAATTCCCTTCGCCAGCGGGGCATACAGTCTGGTCTCCGCACCCGCCGGCTCCCTGCTATGCAAAATCACCGGAACTACGCCGTCCAAGAAAGCCTACACATCTGTGCAAACGGGACGGGACAGCCACATTGAGCTGAACTCCGACCTGGTGTACTGCAACCACTCGTGCGATCCGACAGTCAACTTCGACATGCACAACATGGAGGTACGGGTGGTTGACAACCGCGACTTGAAGGCGGGGGAACCGTTGACATTCTTCTACCCGTCAACGGAGTGGGAGATGGATCAGCCGTTTGAGTGTACGTGTGGCAGTGGGGAGAAATGTAAGGGACGGATTGATGGTGCGAAGAACTTGAGTACAGAGGTGTTGGGGGAGTACTGGTTGAATCCGCATATTGCTGAGATGGTGGCTGAGAGGGAGGCGGGGAGAAACTAGGGAATGAGTTGGTGAGGGGCATGCAGAGTGGGGGGTGGGGTGGTGTGATGGTAGACTAGAGGCTTGATAGACTTAGACTTTGGTGTATATATGATGAGTGGGTGGATATGTTGTGCTGTTGGCTTAGATGTATAGAATTGTTGGTGTGTTTAGATCTGAGCGTTTTGTATGAGTGGTGGGAATAGATGGTGGAAATCAGATCTTGTGATTGTTGTTCTGATGGTGGTGTTGCTATAGTGGGGGGTATTACAAGGCTGGATGTTTCACATGCCGAGGTAGAGAGATAAGAGGAATCAATACCATTGTGATTTGTGTTCAGGGGCACCCTAGCTTATTGTCAAGGTAGGAACCTGAGCAGGTGTGTTTGGATAAGCTCTCGTAGAATTTGCGGATTGTAGCGCCATGTTTACTGGCAGGTTATAGTATACCTAATTTGGAAGGCGGGGTAACCACACTAGTTGGTAACAGTCATGTGCTTGAGCTCTCAAGTTTTCTATGGTTTCACTCTTGATTCCACTGTAGTTGTCATACAATCAACACTTGCCAACTCGCTTGTTCTTCGTTCTTCTGAGAAGTCTGTTGTTTGACGTGTGATTCTCTCAATACTCTCTATTGCCTCAACAAACAGTGTGAAAGTATGAGAACAACAAAGGTCTTTTATCTATAAACATACGCTGCTTGGGGTAATACGATGCTGATAAAGTTCCCATGCCCAGATAGTCATTGGCAATCAACCGCCTGCCGAGAAAGCTGTTGACTATTTAATTTGGTCAGGCCAGCACTGCATTCCCCCTTAGCTCATAACATTTTACAATTCTACGATGATCAGAGAAGTGAACTATTCTCGATATGACCTGCAAACATGAGCCTGCTTCTCCTACCCAAAGAGTCGATGAAAGGGTTAGCTGGAGCGTACATTTCTATCGGATTGACAGATACATTCCATTCTGGCTGAGTACTTGCGGTCTGAAGTGAGGTATTCAGCTAAAATTCACTGCGTAAGGGATAACTGGCACAAAGTACTGCCAATGCAAAGGGTATGATTTCCCCTTGATTAACGACAGCGGAAAACCATCAGTGACTCCTAGATTGGAAGACAGCGTATTTTAAAAGTTATCCAGAGTCTTAAAAAGTGCGCCCACAGCGAAGAGCACCATCTGTATCAATGGAATCGCCCTATATGGCGGCTATTATCGATCTCCGATACCACATTGAACATAGAGTTTCAACAAATTGCTAAGTCCGCAATTCCCTATGTCCGATTGCACTTCCGGCTCAACGGTCGGATTTCGCGTCTTCGGTGTCCGGAGCTTCAGATTTACAAATTAGGCTGTTCTGGAACAGCAGGATAACACCAAAGGAGTGACGTGGGATTTTAGTCACACCACCTATCCGAACACGGAAATTGAGCTCCCTAGCTTCCCCGCTCGATGTCATCGGAACCAAGGGAACTGTTGTATAAATATCCCGCTTCACGCAGATTAAGTTTGATGAAATCTTCAAGCAATTGTCACAAAATGTCTTCTACGATCTTGCTCCAGAACGCGACCATTCTCGTCCCGTCCGGGGATGATGTTACACCACTCCGCGAGCACTCTCTGTTGATTGAGGGGAACAAGGTAGCGCAGATCTCGTCGCATATTGCACCTCCATCAGCCGACACTCAGATCATCGACTGCACGGGCAAGATTGTGTCGCCTGGTTTTATTGATACGCACCATCATCTGTGGCAGACACAGCTCAAGGGACGTCATGCCGACCATACCTTGATAGAGTATATGCCCACTGGTCAGTTAATATCTTGAACTTGGTGCTATTAGTTGCTTATAGATGTAGGAAACCTTCAACAAATCAATTATTCACCCGAAGATATCTTCTGGGGCCAGCTCGCAGGCTGTCTAGAGGCCTTGGATGCCGGCACCACAACGGTCGTAGATCATGCCCATCTGAATGTCACGGCCGCTCATTGTAAGTTGATAGACTTCAATTTTCCCAGCTTGAAGTTAACCCAGTATAGCTTTGCATGGCCTCCAAGCCACGGTCTCATCCGGCATTAGATCAATTTTCTGCTACACTCCCACTCACACTGTCAAGTCATGGAAGCCGGAAATTGTACCTGGCGGAAATTTTCTAGATGATTGGGTGGTAAAGCAGCTGAGTGATCTCGCTGCTGCAGCTCCTTATGGAGACGGCAGAGTTGAAATAGGGTTGGGCTTCGATGGGGTCATGCTCCCAAAGGATGTCGTGGTATCACTTTACGACAGAGCCCGCAAAGCAGGCACGAAGGTTATAACTACGCACTACGTTCGGGGGCACTTCAGTATGTTACCACAAGCTGAATATGTACAGGACTAACCAGAACAGACGACGTTTCATATGTTGATCTTCTTGATAGCTATGGTCTGCTCGGACCAGATATCATCCTTTCCCACGCAACAAATCTCACATCAAGCGACGTCGAGAAGCTGTCCAAGGCAAAATCATGGGTCTCTTCCACCCCAGGATCGGAACTGCAGATGGCACATGGATACCCAGTCTGCTTCCAGGAGGGATGTAGTAAAATAAGTTCTCTCGGAATCGACTGTCATAGCAGCACTTCTAGCGACATGGTTACCGCTATGCGTCTTGGGTTGCAAGCCGAACGAGCTCGTCGGAATGAAGAGGTCATTGCCAGTGGAAAGACTCCCCGCTCGTTGGACCTCTCCGTACAAGACGTTTTCCGTCTGGCAACCATTCAGGGTGCCCGTACCCTACATATGGAAGATAAGTTGGGCTCGATTGGAGTGGGGAAGCTTGCCGATCTAGTCATCTTCGACGGAACCAGCCCGGGGATGGTGTGCGCGAGTGAGCAGGACCCGGTTGCAGCTATTGTCCTTCACTCGTCAATTCGTGATATCGATACCGTCATTGTCGACGGTCAGGTGCGTAAGAATAATGGTCGACTGGCACCCGTGGAGATAAGCCCGTCGTTCTCGGAGGTCCATATACCTAAGCAAAAGGTGGAATGGGGTCATGTGGCGCAGAAACTGATTGCCAGTCGGCAGAGCATCGAGGAAGCCAGGGTCAAGACTGGTGCCACTGACTTGGATTCCATGGTTTCAGCATCGCTCAAGCTATTTCACGCGGATCAGGCACGGTTTGTATGATCAAGCAGCTGAGCCTGCTCGGTCCTGCAAATTACATTGCTGACGCTCCAACGAGGCTAAAAAACAGTGAAGAATGCTAAAATCGTAGGATGGATATAACCGTGCTTTAGAAGCTACAAGATCCGGATCTGATAATTCAACCAGATACCATTTCATGTAGGGGATGGATGGGTTTTAAGTTGGGACAACGTTGGGAACTATCAGTGGAGCAGATTAAATAAACGTTGGGTGGTTGACATTGTGCCGAGGCTCCATTCCCGAGATTATAATATCAGAACCAAACTTCATTCCTACACTACACGCAGTACAGAATTTGATGAATATGTTGCCACAATCGAATCACGCAGCACAGTAGACAAGCTAGCAAATAAAACAAATACATCAACCTTGAAAAACAAGCTTCCTACATGCCCAGACAAGGGATATTTCGTGGGAAATGACACCCCGTCGATCAAGCAAACGAGTAGGACGGCCCCGTCTAGACACCACCGCCACCACCACCAACAGCACCGCCATTCTCTCTCCCAATCGTCGCACCCAAGTCCGTCGTGCTCAGCGCACATACCGACTCAAGAAGGAAGCCGTGTTCCGAAATGCGATCGACAGAGCCGAGCAGCTTGAAGCGAGATTCCGCATCGTCAGGGAAGAGGTAGCAGGGCTACTCGCTGATGTCGCCACTGAGGAACACCAACTACATCCTACAATCCAAACTCGCTTGAAACGACTTCATGAGATTCTCCTGTCCGATGACGGTGATGACACTCCCGTCGCAACCAGCACAGACAATACTACATCATTACCCTCTTCCTCATCCTCATCCACAGAACCAGATCCATCTCCATCCGCACATCATCATCATCACCAACAACCAACATACCCCAATAACCACCACCCTCTAACCCACAATCAACCACTCACATTCCTCCCCCCTCCTCTACCAACAAAACATCACACCTACGCCTTCCACGAACCCCGTTTCATGCGCAAACTCCACCGCTACACCCTCGAGCACGCCTACCGCCTCTTCACCGACCCGCGCTCCAACCCATCCACCATCTACCGCGTCTTCCGCCTGGTGCCTTGCATCCGAGATCCGCAGAAGACCCAACCGCGCTTCCAGCAGCTCTTGACGGGCGGGTGTACCGATCCGCTAGAGGTACCGGGATTACCCTTCTACGGTATTGGCGGCGCGGGTACGCATTTCCGGGGTGTTGACGGGGATGTACCGCAGAATAGGAGGATGCCGGGGAGGGTGTTGGGGGTGATGAGTAGTAGTAGTAGTAAGAGTAGGGATGATATGCTGGAGATGTATGGACTCGGAGGGACGTGGTTTGATTGTCGTGATGTAGAAGGGTTTTTGGGGTTGATGGGGGTGGATATCACTCATGGGGGGATGTTTCTGAGGTGTAGTGGGGTTGGAGATGCTGTGGGGGAGTATGTTTTGGATGTTGAGGGGTTCTTTTCGAGTAAGTGGCTAAGCTTTTTGATGGTTCCAATTGGGGTTTTGGTGATATGCTGATGAGTAATGTTACTAGGGCTTCTTCCTGGGCTTGTGATTCTTGGTCGTACGCCAGGGTTTAGGGAGGTGGATGTTAGGCGGGCGTTGCAGGGTTCGGTGCGGAGGGTGGATCGTATATAATAAAGATTACTTTAGGCTAGTTGTTTGCCTCGAAGCTTGGATTGGGTTGATTATATTATCAGTGTGGGGGATGGTTTCTATGTTTCGGGTTTACGTCAGGCTATGGACTATAGGAGGATAGCTGCTCTTATTACTGTATTTCTCTCCTTAATTTCCTTAATCGGTATAAGGTCTCGCTTCATATCAGGAGCAGATGGTAGAAAAGGCCAAGAACACACAGAATTTAATACTCGCCGACATTAACATCCATCTAAAGATATGCCGGAGAGAGAGAGAGAGAGAGAGAGAGAGAGAGCCAACATCTACAGGCGCAAACAGAAACCATCAATAATGAATATATCAATGTGATATATCCCGAAAGGCATCTAAGCACACCCCACCTCTTAAACTTAATATCTTCCAGATCATGGTAGTATCGCCCCCTCGATCTAAATAACATACAACTCCGTCAATTTGCACCAAGGTGATCGAACTTGGCCTTTGAAAACGGACACATCGCTACCCCCCTCGCCTTGATCACCTCAATATCACTTCTCATCTCCTCCACTCCCCTTCCCCTTTGTGGCTCCGGCCCAATCGTCATCAAATCGTATCCTTGTGGTTGATACCGGTCTCCACGCGAACCAGGTACCTTGCCACCGAACAACCTGACTAGCAATGCTCCAGGACCCCATTTCGACCAGACAGTAGGTCGAATATACCACGGTTGCAGGACCTTTCTCTCAAAATTGTACAAATTCGTCTCCTGATTCGGCATATCATGCACTAATTTGACGGCACGGAAAGCCGGACGCGGAAGGGCGAGATATCGCAGAAATAGTTTCCGTGAGGTTTGCACGAAATTTATCACGAATGATAAGAAGTAGCCGGGGGACTCGAGACTAAAACAACTGTTAGCACAGGGCCCAATTAATAATTGTTCCTGCCACAGAACAATGTATAAAACCCACCCCAAACTCAACCTCATCACCTCATCCAACCCAGCACCCAACATCCGCCTCACCACAGGCCTCACCAACCGCGGAAGCGCAGAATCCACATAAACACGAACATACTGATCATTCGTCTTCGTAAACCTCGCAACCCGCTCCTCATACTGGACCGTCCAACGAGTCAACTCCAATGCAAACTGCACCCCATCTGCCCACCCCTCCGCCTTCGACGGAAGTACATCAAACGGGATGCCCATATCCTCACCCAGATTCTTGTGGAATATCCCCAGAGCACAGATCTCCACGTCCGTAAGACCTCGCCACTCTTCTCGCTCAATGACGTTTAGAATCTCAGCGAGTCCATCGCCGAGTGTATGCAGGAGATCATCATCGGTGATTTTGTTGGCGCGGCGGTAGCGCGCGTGACTAGTATAGTGGTTAGTTCAGAACAAACAAGTTCAATAACACCAATGAAGATGTGTCACGCATACAGATAGTTCATCCTCGCCACAGCAGTCGCATAGCGATCCGAATCTCTCCGCTGGGACTGCGACTCTCGAAGAAGGATCTCCGTGTCGACGGCGCGTTTACCTGCGTTTCGTCGGTTATTCTGGCCTGTCACGGCGAATAGCTTCGACATGGTGGGGATGCCTCCGGCCTGGTATTAATTAGCTTGGTTGTAGGGTCAGGGGTCTATGCTGTGTGTGGTCGTGCGTACCTTCAAAAGAGCCATACGACGAGCCTTGGCAAACGCATATGGGACTTCCAGCTCTTGTAGTTGGGTTATGATTGCGTGTGCTTCTTCGATGGTCATGCTTGATAGAGGTCTTTTGTTGGTTGCGAATGGGGCTTCTATTGCTGTTTTGCGTCGGTAACGGAGGTGTTGGACTAGGGTTAGGTAGATGGTGAGGGCTAGTATAGCTATACATGTGGTTAGGGGGTGCATGGTAGTCTGTGGTTGTTGCAGTTGGTCGGTGGTGGTCATTTTGTTGTTTCTGACTTTATCTATTCTGAGAAGGAGTCGTTGGTGTTATCATTCAGATAGGGGCTGGCTGGCAGAGCGAGGTGGCCGGGTGAGGTTATATATGTCAACAAAATAGTACTGACATTAAATATGCCTCCCAACAAAAATAATAAAAAGCAAAAGTCAAAGACATATGAAAGAATATTTTACGAATTGTTGGTTCCAGGTCTCTCCCCCAGCGAGAGATTTACTATTAGTATGACCGAGATATTGTAATCCAGGGCTTGCGCCGAGGCCGCTCACTGACCTACCCCAACACCCACACTATTACGAACTCCACATGGTAGAGTATTATTCATAAGCCAAGAATAGTACTATCTCTGATTTCCAGGTAGATGGGAACAACATGTGCAATCACATGGATGCTGTCTGATATCTTGGATGTGAACTCCTAATAGTGCCATTGAATATGGGGCCTAAACAGAGCAATGCTGTATAAAGCCTAAATTATTACCAAGGTGTATGATTAAATCAGTGTGGCCGAGTGGTTAGAGTAACTGTTATCAGGTTTTTTGATACTATATGGATTATAATCTCAAACACTATACAGTATGTGGCTCTATTGACCATCCCTTGTATAAAATGATAAGAGGAGTTGTCAAAGAACAACCTAAGGATGTTGCTACTACAAGGCTAAAAGAAAAACATCTTTTACCCCCAGCTACCCGCGGACCAGTAGAATGTTGCTTATTCAGACAAAATGAACACGCGGAAGAAGGTGGTTCATGACCCACTAGATCTATCACAATTATACTATACTGTGTCATAGAGAGAGACTATCAAAGATACTGTAATACTACTTCACAATTCTGGGATTAAGTTTTATCAGGAGATTACTTGAAACCAACAATGAATTCCACTATATAAAGCATAGAAACAGTAAAGAAAAGTGATATAAATCATACTAACCCTCCATAATCTTGCATCTGGAGATATATTAAATGTGTTCTTCTCCCCAGCACTAGATATTTATCCAATCAATCCCTCCTTTATCGTACTAGTCAAAGGCAAGGAACCTACTCTACTATGTATTTTAGCGTAGACGAGAGACACCTCATGTCAAACGCCCGTAAGAGTTCCATCCAAGGTGGCTACCACTACACCAGCCCAACACTAGATGAGTAGTAAAAAAGATGATATCATTGGATATTAGGACAGTGGAGGAGTACAATAAGCTTTGACTTCCGATGACCAGGGTTTGATAATGACGTTTCCTTACAGGGTTATATTTGTCGGTCAATTCCGACAAGGAAACTTCAGAGCACATTACGGATGGTCCAGTCGGGTGTCCCGGTTTGTCGGAATGAAATTTGGGCGTAGAGCCGGGATAGTTGTATACGGTCCTCTACAGGAGATTACAGAATATCCATTATTTATGTATGCAATTTTTAAAAGTGAGTTGGTTCGAATATGGCGAAAGACTATCCCGGCCTGCCAAATCTCAGACCGTTGCAGTGCAGCGTGAGAGTACCTGCGGCTGCAGTAATCTGCAGCAATTCCCCTACCACACCAACACAGTTGCCTAACCAGGCAAAGAAATAGTACCAGGCGATCACACTAGCTCGCCGTTGGCTCATATCCTCAATGTAGAATCGAAGGAATAGTTGGAGCCATGACCCACCCCGGAAAGCGCGAGCAACGCCACACATTAACGGATCTTACCAAGTGGGCCACCATGAGCCCTTAGTCTCTGCAAAAGAGCCCTGAAAAGCCAGTAAGATCCCTCAAGTGCAAGCCTGACGTGGTCGTAGCCGAAGAAAACGACCGTGGCCCAATTTGCATTCTGCGTGAATCATACTTTTGTCTCGTGAAAAGGAAAAGATTGACAGAAAAAGCCACGGTTGGTCCTCCGCTTGTTCAGATAGGCCCGTGGGCCGGCAAGTGATCAGTTATGCAAATTAATGTGCACGCCAGACAGACCCAATCATAGGCTGACCTGCATATGCAAGATTTGCTGTCGGTGACCCAACCTCAACCCTGAGCGTTTACCAGCGCGCTATTTCGGACCCATCGATCGACATATGCTGGGGGGTTCGTGAAGAATGGGCTTATGTAGCCATGATGCTTCGTCCGACGTTCGAGTGCTTCGTCTCCATTGCTTCCGGTGCCTAGATGATTTGCACCTTGAGTTCCACCACACTCTCTCACTGTAGTCTCCAGAACTGGCTACTTTATTGTTTTCAGAGTATGTAGCGCCTAAGAGACCTTCTTCCAACCCCAACAATGTAGACGGACCGCACCTAAGACCTCCATGACTGATTGTGATGTCTTCAACTGCATAGACAAGTATCGAAACGAGAGGGCGAAAAGGGGCCCCTTAGACGCTCACATTTCTCAGCCATCCACCCAATCATGCCAGAGCCACCATAGGAGAAGCGAGGAGACGGGAGGATATGGAGAAGATAGGAAATCTGTGGTTGGACGCCTGGCAATTGTATGTTCTCACTTTCGTTTCTTTTAACAGTGAACTAAGGGATTTATATTACCCTTCACATAACCTGGCCCTCTTTTCCCTTCCCCTCATCTCCTGCCCCGAGGCCTCTAACGTAGCTTCTCATAGTCTCGTTGAATAATATGGCAAAACGTGAACCGGTACTGTCGTCGCGTGCTCATGTCGGAGTCGTAGATAGGAAAGGTAAGTGGTCATCAATTTGATATATATCGTCGCTGGTGGTAAGTTCATTTTATTTCTCGTCATTCGGTAAACCATCCGGCCTGGAGCTCGCCGGCGTGCTGTTGTTGCCGTCTGTTGCCACGGAATCCACCCCGTCAGGAATATTTATCTCATCTTTCGGTGCGGAGCGAGCAATAACGGCCCGGATTTCATCATGAGTTGCGCCCGATCGGATGACGTCGAGAATGCCGTCGATGGTGGCACGATCACCAGATCGTAGCGCCTCGAGAAGTTGTTCCACAAAGCCACGGTAATATTTCAGATCCTCCTGGGCACGCTTGGCCGCGACTTTACGTCGCTTGTCGGCGAATTCATCGATCACGCACTCCCGGTCGTGAAGAGCACATTCAGCGCACGGCGTCCCTGTTGTATCTGCACTACACTGTGATACGGCCAGCCAAGTCAGAGCAGAAAGAGTGAGAAGATAGAAGAACTTAATGGAGGAGGGGCTAGATGAACCATTATGATGCATGATAAAGGAAAGGAAACCGCTAGAGTGTACTAGAAGAGTCAAGTTGGGGGAGTTTTCACCTTCGTTCGACGTCGTTTACATTCCCCGCAAGCCGTAGAAGCGCGCTTTATTTTCCCCTCCTCGGGCGCAGCAGCCGGGGTTGGAGGTTCTGGAATCCTCCTTGGGGCAATGGGACGAAAAGGTTTCCCAGACCCTTGTTGGGCCATGATTTAAGAAAGAGTGTGTCTGTATATGATGACGGAGAGGAGAAGAAGCAGCGACGGGAGAAAACAAGAGGCCCGTGGGAGGGGGCCAGCGAAGTGCCAGATAAGATCGCGGGTAGAAAGTTCTAGGAGCACTCGCCTCACTAGGAGGCGCATCTATGGCGGACGACCAGAGAAGGCCCCATGTTCATCGGACTAGCCAGGTCCTGCAGCGTTGTCGCACCGGCGTACCGCGGGCGGTCGAGACGAGCGGAAGTGGGTGGGTTCAAAAAGCACCATCTGCACTCTCAAGGGGGAAAATCCCAAAAAAAACTCAAAATTACGGCCCAATACAAGTAGGGGGGGAGGGGGGAGGGAAATAGGATCGGTGTGTGTTGTGAAATGTGACACATCGGGGCCTACGCAGGCCCACGGGCCGTCCCCAACGCTGTGGCTCCTCCAGTCGTTCCAGGAACAGCAAACCCTCGGGCATTTATGGCCAAGAAGCCGGGTGCAAGACGATTGTGCCAGTGAAGGAGAACCCCAGCTGGGAGTGGGAGGAAGATGTGCGAGTCAGGTCGACGGGACCAGTGCATGGAACATCCAGCTGGATGGTGGCAACCGAACGATCCACCAGGATGGGAGAGTTTGCAATGGCAATGGCTATCAGGGACAGCCCAGCCTTCGTTTTTTGGACAGACCCAGCAGCGGTCAGACAGGGAGTTTGGTGATTAGGCAGTATCAATAGTCACCAACTCGGCGATGCGCAGCTAAAATGCCTAAAGGGCCCATCCGTCCTTCTCCCTGAGTAATATGGTTTTCCCACCACCACTCTTTGGGTCAAATTTCGTTCCTCCTTTCCGTTTTTGAGCAGCTCTACCGGCGTTCCCCTGTTCAATATTCCTCGGGTATCTGTAGAATCTAGTTTTGTTGAACCTTTTCTTTCCCTGTTTTTGCTGTAGGCGGTTGTCTGGATGGGATGGTTCCCTCACGCCCCTTCATACACGCTCGAAGAATCCTCTCGCAAGGGGGTTCTTCAATGGAAAATTACTGGGATTGTGCGAGCATAACTTTGACCGAATCAACGGAGGACCATTGGTTGACTAAAGTAACGGCCGGTGCTCTGCGCGAATTCAATCGCGGCGTGAGGCCGGATATTTTATCCGCCAAATTTGATAGGCCACGATGAGATCAAATCGACGGAACGAACAAGAGGACCCAGGACCTTAGTCCGCTGGGTCGATGTCTTCGCGTCAACTACCTGCTTCCAGACGATCTTAGCCACAGAGTGACCACCCACGTATGTGATCAGGAAACACAGACCAAGAGCGGGTTGTGCCCCGATTACTGGTTCTGCAAAGCTAGGTGTGGATGCAGTTCTATGCACCGTGGGAAACCTGAGTGCCTGGTTTCTGCCCCCAACTTTAGTTCCTTCATACACTGCAGACCAGAATCCGGGGGAATGAAGTAACCATAGGACACCGCAACGCTATAGAAGAACCAGTATTTGATCCAGTAGTACCGTCACCCAGCAGCAGGGGAAGCGCGATTAGTATTGAGGATTGAAAGTTAACCAACTGCCGGCAGTTGAGAA